CTGAAGTTGCCTCCAAAGGTCACAGAGTGCTGCCGGGAAGGGGTTGGCGCAGATTGGTTGAAAGTGGTCAGCTGATGCTCGAAGCCAATCAGTGACTCCCCATTTATAAAACTGGCTTTAATGTTTTTAAAATTTTGCTCACTTTTGTGGAGTACCACAATTAAATGTTATGCTCTTACTGACAAGCCTACTGTAATTTTCTGTTGCCTTCAGAAGTGCAAATTTTAAATAATCACATTTCTCCTGGACTCCATTTAAACTGCTCCAGTCTGACAAGGACTCCTTTACGCATATTCTAATTTTAGAAAAGTCTGTTTTTCTAAAATCTAAAACTTTTGTTTTTGTGTGGTGTGACTCAGTCACTGTTTTAAACCAAACTGACTGGTGATCACTAGATCCTTAACTTTCAAGTACAGTAATATCTGATACCAAATCTCCATTTGTTGACACTAAACTTAGTATGGCTCCCTTATGAGTTGGCTCCTCAACGACTTGTTTTAGAGATAACCCCAGTAGGAAATTTGAAAATGTGAGCTCCTGGCACAAGCAGCTATTTTGGTTTTCCAGTTCACATCAAGAAGATTAACCCCTTAAAGACACAACTTCGGGAATAAAAGGGAATCATGACGGAATATTTCCGTCATGTGTCTTTAAGGGGTTAAAGTCACTAATAGTGATAACTTAATTATAAGGAGACTGCACGCAGTATTGTATGTGTAAGAATGCTGCTTAAGGGGTTCATCCAACCATAGGGGCTGTTGTGATAGGGATAGGGGCTGTTGTGGGTGCTAGGTAGGAACAGGGCTGTCTTTAATATTGACAAGACCCTGGGCAAGCCACTCCCTGGCATGCAAGCACGCCTTCCACCCCAAAGTAGTGGCGGAACTGAAGTACAGAGAGCCCTGGTGTAAGAATTTTATTGGGTACTCAACTGCAAGGTTGAACATAAGGTAGAACCTTATCTGTCGTACAACTCTAAGAATGCTTTGACAGCTGGGGCTCTACCAATTTCCCATGCTTACAGGGTTGTATTTAGCACTGTGTTTGTGTGTTTGAATGTAAGCATGTTTTTTGTATGGAGTACAGTATGTTTGTGTGAATGTGTTTGTATGTGGTGTTGGAGTTTGAATGCAAGTGTGCATTTATGTGTAGTGTTGGTTTTGAATTTAGGGGTGTGTTTATATATAATTTGGGCGTTTAATACAGAGGTGTGTTTGTATGTGGTGTTGACGTTTTAATGCAGAAGTGTGTTTATATGTAATGTTGAAGTTTGAAAGGAGGGGTGTATTTTTATGTAATGTTGGTGCTCAGATGGTTTAGACACACAGGTACACACAGATATACACACTGACAACATAAAAATACACAGACACATACAGATACACAGACAGATAAACTGAAAGACATACTGACACACACAAATACATACAATGATAGACACACTGACACACACACACACACACACTGACACACACAGGCACATACAATGACAAACATACTGACACACACAGATACATGCACTGACAGATATACTGACACACAAACAGACACATACACTGATAGACATACTGACACACACACAGGCATATACACTGACAGACAAACTGACACATACAGATACAAACACTGACATACTGACACACACACAGAAAGACATACTGACAAACACACAGGCACATACACTGACAGATACTGACACACACACACACACACACATAGATGCATACACTGTCAGACATACTGAAACACACACAGACTCACTGACACACACACAGATACACAGACAGACATACTGACACACAGAACACAGACAGACACACTGACACACACACACAGATACACAGACAGACATACTGACACACACACACACACACACAGATATACTGACATACATGTAAAATTTACATTTTTAAACCCACCCTCCAGTTTCCTATCTTTGGCTGGATGGTGGATTCCCTGGGGTCCAGTGTGGTGCCTGAGGCTGATTGGATTGCCTGAGCACTGTGTTTGTGTGTTTGAATGTAAGCATGTTTTTGTATGGAGTACAGTATGTCTGTGTGAATGTGTTTGTATGTGGTGGTGGAGTTTGAATGCAAGCGTGCATTTATGTGTAGTGTTGGTTTTGAATTTAGGGGTGTATTTATATATAATTTTGGCATTTAACACAGATGTGTGTTTCTATGTGGTGTGGAAGTTTGCATGGAGGGGTGTATTTTTATGTGATGTTGGTGCTCAGATGGTCAGACACACAGGTACACACACTGACACACATGCAGCTACACACACTGACTACATACAGATACACACACACAGATCCACACACTGACAACATACAGATACACAGACACATACAGATACACAGACAGACATATTGACACACACAAATACATACAATGATAGACACACTGACACACACAGGCACATACAATGACAAACATACTGACACACACATACATACACTGACAGATATACTGACACACAGACACATACACTGATAGACATACTGACACACACACAGGCACATACACTTACAGACATACTGACACATACAGATACAAACACTGACATACATACTGACACACACACACACACACACACAGAAAGACATACTGACAAACACACAGGCACATACACTGACAGATACTGACACACACACACACATAGATGCATACACAGACAGACATACCGACACACAGATACACAGACACACACTGACACACACACACACAGATACACAAACAGACAGACATACTGACACACACACACACACAGAGACAGACATACTGACATACATGTAAAAAAAAATTAAATCTACCCTCCAGTTTCCTATCTTTGGCTGGATGGTGGCTTCCCTGGGGTCCAGTGTGGTGCCTGAGGCTGATGGGAGTGAGGAGTCTCTGTCCTCATTGCCTCCTCCCTCACGCGCGGCTTCTCCTGCACCCTCCCGCACAGCAGCTCCTCTCTATATGGGATTAAGTGACAGCCGCGAGTCACTTCCTCCCATGCTGCCAAAAAGCAAGGGGCCTGGGCGCGCTGGTAAAAGGCCATAGCGCCCGACTGGGGCCCTGCTGATACAAGTCCACCTGGTGGCCCTAAGTGCATGCGCCACCTTTTGGGACTCCTTAGAGTGCGGGGCCGAGCCGGGGGAAGTGGGGCCCATAGGGCAGCTGCCTTGGGCCCCCCAGGAGTAACTGGGCCCAGTGCAGCTGCCCCATTTTCCCTACATTAAAGATGGCCCTGGGTAGGCATAGGGGTGCTAGTGGGTGCAGAGGAGGGATTGGGTGCTATAGTGGGTGGACTGAAGGATTGGGTGTTGTAGTAGGTGCAGTGGAGATGGGGGTACATGCGGGGCATAGGGGCTGGGGTTGGAGTAGGGTGGCATATGGGCTATATTGGGTACAGGGGAGGGATGAGTACTGTTTTGGGTGCAGTGGAGATAGGCGTACATGCGGGGCATAGGGGCTGTAGTGGGTGGAAGGTGAGTATATGAGCTGTAGTGAGTGCAGGGGAGGGACTGGGTGGTAAAGTGTGTGCAGTTTGCCATAAGAGCTGTCGGTGCAGAGGGGGCATAGGAACGAGAGTATGGGGCATATAGGCCAAGGTGAGTGCTGGGCCAGGGGGTGTAGGAGTCCTATCTAACTCATACTACCTTTGCCTCATCTAAATTTTATGCTGTCTCTGCTAAATTTTTCCTCTGCATGAGAGGAGAGCACAGGAAGTGATGTCACTTCCCAGACCCCACCTCTTCCTCTCACACAGAGCACCGCAGAGGAGATCGTGGAGACCTGGCACAGAGAGAGCAGCATCGCTGACAGGTCTCACTGAGAAGATAAGGGGGCATGGGGTCACTTAAAGTGCGATAGGTTGCAGGGACACTGCAACCTATCGCTGTAATATGTCTGTTGAATTTTGTCTTTCTAGTTGTGGAGATCTCCCCAGCTACAGCATGACTGTTCAGCTGGGCCTCTGACTGCCTCGGACCCTCATTCCATGACCAATCTGCCCAAGGGGTCAGTCCGCCCCTGGTTAAACACTCATACACACCAACAATATGAAGCTCCTAGAAAAGGCCAGGAATGGGTACTGTCCCTCCTTGGGAGGCACACCTTACAGAAAGTGTTGTTATTGAGAAGCTCTGTAATGGGTCTGCTCAAGCCATGGAGGGTGCCTAGATCTACGTAGAGAGAAAGTATATCCTTCCAAACCTGACCAATGTGAAGACAACTTGTAAGATCGCCATTAAGTACTAACATGCCTGCAGGGCTGGGAGGAAATGACATCGGAGCATTTCCCCCAGCACAAAGGAAACACAGAGAAGAGGAAGAGGAAGAGGAGCTAGAACCCTACACCAGCCACCATCGGGCCACTGAGAACCATCCTCTTGCAGTATGTGAGTCAAAAGCTTGCCTAGCCCCTACCTCCCCAATGTAAACTATAAAGGGTAAAGAGTCTGAAAATCTGAAGACAAATTATGATGCACAGTGGTGTGTGAGGAGAGAATGGAGTACAGAAAAGATAACTAAAAGTATTTTATGGGAGCTTGCAAGGGGTATTTTTACTGTGATGGTGGGCATAAAGAGGAAAGGTCAGAGGGACATACTGGGGTATTTTTTTTTATTGTGGTGGGTGGGGGGTAAGGAGCAGTGGAGGGCTTTCCATTTTTCTTTTTTTTTTGCTTAGATGCTGTGGTAAGGACTAAAGGAGAGGCTGCGATGGGTATTTTTCAGCAAGGGAAGGGGGATCAATCCTAATAAAGCTTTCTTATCATATACCGATCTATTTAAACAGTGTGTAAGATAAGAATAAAGCAAAAACTAAGAAAACATAATTGGATTGATCACTATGGCAGGCAGTGTATTTCAGTACATTCAAAGTGTTGTCATTATTATTTAACTAAGCACTCAGTATCAGGGGCGTACCTAGAGCATTTGGCTCAGTTACAGACAGACAGTCACACACTCAGTTACAGGCAGACAGTCACACACAGTCACAGGCAGACAGTCACACATACACATTTCCTCCGTGCGGCCAGTTTATCAGCTGTTTGCTTGAGTGAGCTGTACTGGCCGCACGGCACCCTAACTACCATGGGACACTGTGCGGCCACAGCTCACACAGCCCCCTCCAGCCAGGGCCGGTACAAGGATTTTTGCCGCCCAAGGCAAAAGTAAAGTTTGCCGCCCCCCATGTGACATCACAATGCCCCAACCATATGATTTGCCATGTTAACTAATGCCAGTGCTGCAGTGCCGCCGTGTTTACATTAAAAGGCCTGCAGGGACAGGCTATAGACACCAGAACCACTACATTAAGCTGAAGTGGTTCTGGGGACTATAGTGTTTCTTTAATGTGAGGTAAATTAGAGCTTAGTGCCACGAATAATATACTAGATTGCCTACTTACAACCAGATGAGGATGATGATGGGCTCTAGCTGCAGTCTGGCTCCACTGGTCTGGTGCAGAACAGGCTCTCTGGAGGCGGTTTGTAACTGTGGTCACAAAAATCAATGTTCTGGGAGAACGGGAAGCAGCTCCATTTTTTGGGGGTCCTTTACACAGCTCAAGGTCTGGGTCCCAGGGTCCACCTTCATGTTCCACCAATGAGTTTGTTCACAGGGGGTGGAGTGTGTAGGGGATGTCCTGATATGTGTGTAAGGAATGCATTGTGTGAAATTGTGTTTGTATGTGTAAGGACTGCAAGGTGTGTTTCTGTGTATGTATGGGATGCATTGAATGTGTGTAAGGGGTGCATTGAGTGTGTGTAATGAATGCATTGTGTGTTTCTGTGTGTGTAAGGGATGCATTGTGTGTAACGGTTGCATTGCTTGTGTGTTTTTCTGTGTGCAAGGGGTGCATTGTGTGTATGTGATGAATGTCAATCTCTCCTCCCGCTCCAATTTCCTTCTCCTCCTCCCAATTTCTCTTTCTCACCCCCCCTTATTTCTCTTTCTCATTTCTTTCTCCCCCCCTTATTTCTCCCCCTTATTTCTCTTCTCTCTCCCCCCTTATTTCTCTTTCTCACCCCCTATTTCTTTTCTCACCCCCCTTTTCTCTCTCTCACCCCCCCTTCTTTCCCCCCTTTCCCCCTTCTTTCTCCCCTCCTACCTCCCTGTGGCGGGCCGATGTATAGTCCGGGTACAGGGAGCTTTTTTCCTGTACCCGGCGGACTAACAGGAAGTGAACACTCAGTGTGCACTTCCTGTTAGTCCGGCCGGGTACAGGAGACAGCTGCTCTCTGTACCCGTCGGACCATGCTGCAGTGAGGGGCTGACAGGAGCGCTCCCTCCTGTCAGCCTCTCCTCAGGCTGCGCCCGGGCGGTGCGGTCCGCCCTCATGGAAGCACCGCCCGGGCAAAGCTGCAGCCGCCTGAGGCTCTTCACAGAGCGCTCGGGCGGCTGCAGCATGGGGGGGGGCGGCGGGGCTGGTCATGGCACCCCGCACCCTGGTGGCACCCGGGGCGGACCGCCCCCCCCCGCCCACCCTTAGTACGCCACTGCTCAGTATGTAAGGAATAGGGTTATATCCTCTAATAGTTGATCCAATTCTCTCCCTCCTCATTTTCCTTTTTTATTTAGTTTGTGGCTGATTAGTAATGTCTCTCCATGTCCAGCATTTGTGTGGATTAGGGTAACTCCTTTAATTTCTTTTATTTTCAATAAGTTCTATTAATAAATACTGCTACTGCACATATTGTTATTCTTATACAAACATTTACATACTGCTACCATCCCCACAAAAATACACTATATATAAATACATTGACACCCATAGACAGAAATACATACACATATGAACTCACATGCATTTACACACACTCATATGCACACACTAGACATAGTCACAAAGGCTGAAAAGAGACGTGTCCATCAAGTTCAGCCTTCCTCACATCTGTTTTTTGCTGTTGATCAAAAAGAAGGCAAAAAACCCAGTCTGAAGTGCTTCCAATTGTGAAACAAACTAGGAAAAATTCCTTCTTGGTCCCAGAATGGCAGTCAAATATCACCTTGAATCAAGAATTACCCCACTAAATTAAAATTTATATCCCTGTATATTATGTTTTTTTTTGCAAGTATTTATCCAATTGTTGTTGCTGTTGGTGTAAACATCTTTATATACTCTGATAAAACCACCTGTTCAGGCGGAGAATTTAACATCCTTATTGTTCTTACTGTAAACAAACCTTTCCTTTGCCTTAGACTAATTCTCCTTTCTTCTAGCATAAATGTGTGATCTCTTGTCCTATGTATAGTCCTATTTATGAATAGATTTCCAGACAATGGTTTGTATTGGCCCCCCGAATATATTTGTATAATGTATCATATTTAAATATTTGTTATTCCTTTGATCAACTTGTAGCCCATCTCTGCACTTTTTCTAGTGCCATAATATCCTTCTTTAGAATAGGTGCCCAAAATAGCACAGCATATCCAAGGTGTGGTCTTACCAGTGATTTATAAAGTGGCAAAATTATGTTTTCATCAGCGAACAGATAGTTGAAAACTTTTGGCACCGCCAAGATTAACCATGTGGCAGTTGGCAAGTGTTTACAAGCCAGTGCCCCATTAAAAAAGGAAATAAAAAAGGTGTTGTAGGTGTAGTGGGGACGTAGGTATGACACTGCATATCTGGTGGACATGCCCAAGACTGGCTACCTACTGGCAGATAGTGGCAAAAATTGTTAAGCACTCCACAGGCATACTTATATTTCCAATGATAGAGGAGACCTATTTATTATACATCTTCCCAGAGGAGCTCCCCAGACCCTTCGGGAAAATCTTATATGACACCTTAACGACAGCTTCCACACTATTAGCTAGGGGATGGAAGTCGACACTGGAACCCACAGACAGGGAAATTGTGACCCAGGTCACCACAAACATGGAATATGAAAAAATAGTTACCTGCCAATTGCACTCCAGTTTATCCTCTAGAGAGTCTGCATGAACATGGGTCTCCTCTATGGCAACCTACCAGTCAGACGAGACCACTAATTCAGGATAACAGAGACACATGCCTGGGGGAACAGGGTCCCTAAGTTCCCAGCAAAAGTGCAGGAAACAATAAACAAATACTGCACATACACTTATAAAACACACTATGGAACTTGCAAACCACAGGGGACAAAGAGGGAACCAGCCCAAACAGGTATACAAACACCTCAGTGAGATTTGTTATTGTTTAGTTTTTTTGTTTTAATTATTGTTAATTGCTTGTATTTCTGCAAATATGTACAAACACCCTAATTTCTACTATGTGCTGTAACATTTACTGCCATGCAGATCCCAAGCTAATCCAAAAATGTGCTACTGATGGTATTGCATGCACAGCGGGCTGCGATCTGGGCTGATTTTACACACTGTATTTTACGATTGTCATACTGATGTAACCATCTATAAATATAAATGCAAGCCAAATAAGAAAAAAGTAAATGTAATAAAAGTTTTCAAAAAAAAAAGGAAAAATAAAGTTAATGACAGTCAATACGACTCCCATGTTAGTATAAGGGAGACTTTACACTTTCCTATGAGGCAGTTGGTACATATCTACTAAATGTTTATTACTATCGACAGGGCAGCCAATGCGAATCAGTTTATTTTTAATTAGCATATTATGGATTTTGAATAATTTTTGGGGGTAGGGAGGGGAGGGGGGGTTGAAGAATAAATATAAGATTTTGAAAAGAAGACTTCTTATGGTAAGTATAATTATTTTGTTTTACAGTCTGCCTTTATCTCCAAAAGCTTTAATGTTTTTTTTTTTTTTATTAATTAACCAGTAAGACAAGTTAGGGAAAAAACACTGACTGAATATTTTCCACACTTGACTTAATGACCAACTTGACTTTTTAGGGCTCTATTTTGTGAATTCGGTTTTCCAAGCCTCAGGTCACGGTTTTTAGTTTAATGGTCCATCTCCACTCACTATTATTAGGGTCAAAGGGGTAGGTATGGTTCATTTTTTTTTAAGGTGGGGTGGCTAATTGGTGGGGTTGACAATAGCATTTCCATTTTCCAACAGCCCCCTCAGCTGGCCATGGGTGGGGAAAGCAGGACATTAGGATTTCTCCCACAGTTTTAAAAAATATTTCATTTATAGTCCTGTGCCTGTTGCCCACCGGTGGGGGCACGGGGCAGACAATGTCTTCCTGTTATTTTACAGGCTCATCTGCTTGGGAGTTTTCAAGGGACTGGTTAGCAATGGCTCCCCATGTTACTAGTTTTCAATATATAGTAGATGTGCCCACACCCACCCCATGATAGGTGGGGGCATAGGCAGATTTAGCATCTCCCCTATTGTAATATGGGGTCTTATTAACCCCCGTAGGCTTTTATTTATTTATTTACATTTTTAATTTGGTGGTTGGCTAGCAAGCGCTGGCCAGCTGCCACATGGTGAGCCCTTGCTATGTTAAGGGTTATTTAACCTATTTTCTTTCTGTGTATATTTGGATCCAGACTAGATTCCTTTTGTACTGAGCACTCAACCCATCCACTATGAGTGCCCATTTTAAGGGGACCACAGAAAGTATAAATTGAGGAGTTTCTGGAAGCTGTTTAAGAAGTAAATATTACAGTTAGAAGGGTGGACCTTATGCCATTAGGCACCATGTGCGAAAAATCTTTACAGCGCTTTCCTCCTCCAAAGGTCATACACTTTCATCCATGTATGTGTGTGTGTATAGGAGTGTAGTGTTTGTATAGGGTATATTTTAAATTAATAATGATTTAAAACCAAATATTCATTTTCCCTTCCCTGTTACCTTGCAGTGAGAGGGGAATTTTGATATTCCTGGTGATCCAGTGTGCTGGGAATCTGGTCTGCACCAGGTGCAGACTGAGTAACTGTTTCACAAGCTCATTGTTAGAGCTTTTCTCTGGTAATCCATGGCAGAGCACTGTTTGGCCTGAGCGCAGAAGACAGCTACTTGTGGTCTGCAGCCAATAGAAGTGCAAGCCAGAAGTGCCAAGCTGCCTCCTCTGTATTACAGGCAGACACAAACATTCACACGTAAGTACAGGCAGACTGTCACACACACTGTTACAAGCAGACAGTCACAAATGCTCAGTTACAGGCAGACAGTCACACACTCAGTTACAAGCATTCAGTCACTCAGACACACACAATTACAGACAGTCTCACACACACACACACACACACACACACACACACACACACACACAACACTGTTACAGGCAGACAGTCACACAAACACACACAGTTACAGGCAGTCAAACAGACACACAGTTACAGGCAGACAGTCACACAGACACACACATACACACAGTCACACACAGTTGCATGCAGACAGTCACACAGACACACACAGTTACAGTCACACAGGCAGACAGTGACACATACAGTACAGTGACACACAGGCAGACAGAGACACACACACAGGCAGACAGTGACACACATGCAGCCAGTCAAACACACACATACGGGCAGACAGTGACACACAAAGGCAGACAGTCACACAAAGACAGTCACACACACACACACACACAGGCAGACAGTGACACACAGACAAACATTGACACACGGGGAGGATGTGGAGGGGGGGGGAGGGGGGAAGCAACAGACAAATCCACTCTGGTCACCAAATAACAGTACTCATTTAAACACCATGTACTTTATCTCCAAAAGCTTTAATGTTATTTATTAATTAACCAGTAAGATATATTGAAGGAAAAAAACATATTGCACTCTTGACTAAATGACCAACTTGACTTTTTAGGCCTCCATATTGTGAATTCGGTTTTCCAAGCCTCAGGTAACTGTTTAATGGAAAAAAACCTGATGAGAGGAAAGATGAAAAACATTCCCCCAGCTTGCATTAAATTACATACTATGGTATTACCACACATTTTACCACAAGTGTTCCATTCTGCTGAGCAGCATAGCATTTCACAACAGCTGAACATACCTGTTTTTTAGCAGGCCAGAAAAAGTATCACATTGTTGATTGTAATTTTCTAGGGAGGAGACACTGTAAACAGATGTCTGTTCTTTGGAATGTACAGAGCACATAGTATGCAAGTGAAAAACAAAATACAATATCAATTTAAGTATTCATTAAGTTTTAAAGGGACACTATAGTCACCAGAACCACTATGGTTTCTATAACCTGTCCCTGCAGTGTTTTAAATGTCAGTGAAAAGGCAGTGTCTGCATTGCTGCTTAGTAAGACATCTAGTGGTGGTCACTCAGATGGCCACTAGAGAATTTTCCTAGTCCAGTGCTCTACAGTGCACAGTACTGGCATATAGTATCTATGGGAAAGCATTTGGATTGGCCGAGGTCATCAAGATTGATGAGCTCAGCCATTGCGGGAATGGTGTGGGGGGAAAAAAGGTTAATAATGTTTTGGTCTTTTTGTGAGGGTCATTGAACATGCAGCATGATTGATTGGTGATTTATCACCTGTATTGTCAGGAAATATTTTCTGTATTAAGATATTACATATATCACATACCACTCTACATTAAAACAACTTCCTTTATTGCATATTCTGCTACATTTAGAATGTCTTATCTCCTGCACTGTCAATAGTCATCTAGCCTAATATTATCTATAGGGGTGCTAAAAGTATAAAGGACAATCTAGTGAGAAGTTACATAAAACCGCCAGAGAAGGAAAAGCACTTTAATACTAGACCTGGTTTTTATACATGTAAAAAATGTGCTTAACTTGTAAAAGGGCGAGTTTTAATAAGATTACAAATCCCCAGTATGGTGTAACGCTATAAGTGAACAGAGATGAAGATATATACCTTGACACACTACTAAGTGGTAGTTCTGATATCTGTGACGGAATACCTATAAAAATAGATGTCCTGATCCAGTTATCATCTGCAGTCTGTATAGACACCCTGAAGCCTTATATACATAGCCTGGGACGGCTCTGGATCTAATCACATGCATATGTACTGTTTTTATCAATTACATGCCTATTATTATTATTATATTTATATGTCCTGCTACCATCAGTAGGTATATTTTATGTTCACTGAGGGTAACTCTTTCTGGTTTTAACTTTATAGATTCTGCAGGAGCCTCCTGTTTACAGAGTAGGAGATAAAAACTTCTAAAGCAAGTTAACATCTAATTGAAAATGAAACCATGTTTTAATTCAAGCTGAGTCAGTCACAGCCACGGGAGGTATTACCAGGGCTGCATAAACAGAATCAAAAGTTATTTAAATCCTTGATGGTAGAGAATTGAGCAGTGCAGGGGCATGATCTATACACTAAAACTATACACATTAAGTTAAAGTTGTTTTGGTTGAATTATAGTGCACTTGTAAACCATCCCAGAACAGTTTAACAATTGATACAATTAAGGTTCCCTTCAGCGCCAGATCCAGTTCCTTAGCAGCATTCGGCTTCTGAAATTGAGTTTCAGGAAGCACAGAGTGCTGCCGTGGCCAATCAGTAGCTCCCCATTCCTTAAAAAAAAAAAAAAAAGTACAGACCAATGGTGCTTTGTTTTTAAATTGTAAAAACATGAGATGGAACGTGGGCATATTCACTTTGTATAAACATGCGGTGCCAAGTTTACACAGCTGGAAACCAGGGACTGTGGAAAACTCTAAATGTGAGAAAATCCAACAGAACCTGGGACAATTGAGAAGTATAATTGGGACAACTATATAATATTGTTGGATAAGCTCTTCAAACGATTTAATATTTTTAGATACATCTTATTTTTTTTTTTTATTAAAATGAAAAAAAAGTGTTTTCATCTATATATATGTATAAAATGTATGAAAACATATTACACCCTATTTTAATAGTTCATCAAAAAAATATTAAATGATTTGGAAAGCTTAGCCAATAATATGAAATCGAGGCCTAATTCTGATAAGTAGAGTATTTCTGCTCTAGCCATGGAAACCGACTCCTGCCTTCCAGGACTCAGACCATAACCACCACCACCACCACCGTGAGCCCAGGTGAAGGAGAAGCCAGCCTTGGTATTTGATAAAAAGTAAACACTCCATTATTCGCTATCTGCGAGAGACAGTCTATGTTACATTATCTAGTGCTGCCCTCGTGTGTTCATTTGTTAGTAAAGCAGCTCCGCATCACCCAGTGCTGTGCGTCAACCCACGCCTCTTAATTCCCGCCTTCACACTGCAGCCAATCACCGCTCTCTCCTTTTACGGCTCGGTCAGCAGGGCGGGGAAAGGGGCGTTCCCAGCCGGGACTGAGCCATGCTGCTCCTCCCACGGCGGCGGCCGCTGAGCTAGTGGGTGGCTCGTAGTGACGCAATTCCGCTTTGACGTCCACTCTCTCCGCCCAGTGCTGTCAGTGCTCCTGTTTCCGGGGCACAGACCTACAGGTGACACCCGAGACGGCAGGAGGGGCGGGTCATAGGAGCACTGTCACCCCACAACAACCATAACAACAACAGCAACAACAACAAGGTAATAGCAATACAGCCTGACACCATAACAACAACAGCAACAAGGTAATTAGCAATACAGCCTGACACCATAACAACAACAGCAACAAGGTATTAGCAATACAGCCTGACACCATAACAACAACAGCAACAAGGTAATAGCAATACAGCCTGACACCATAACAACAACAGCAGCAAGGTATTAGCAATACAGCCTGCCACCATAACAACAACAGCAACAAGGTAATAGCAATACAGCCTGACACCATAACAACAACAGCAACAAGGTAATAGCAATACAGCCTGTCACCATAACAACAACAGCAACAAGGTAATAGCAATACAGCCTGACACCATAACAACAACAACAGCAAGGTAATAGCAATACAACCTGCCACCATAACAACAACAGCAAGGTAATAGCAATACAGCCTGCCACCATAACAACAACAGCAAGGTATTAGCAATACAGCCTGCCACCATAACAACAACAGCAACAAGGTAATAGCAATACAGCCTGCCACCATAACAACAACAGCAAGGTATTAGCAATACAGCCTGCCACCATAACAACATCAGCAATAAGGTAATAGCAATACAGCCTGCCACCATAACAACATCAGCAATAAGGTAATAGCAATACAGCCTGACACCATAACAACAACAGCAAGGTATTAGCAATACAGCCTGACACCATAACAACAACAACAACAAGGTATTAGCAATAGCCTGACATCATAAATACCAACTATAACAACAACAAGGTAATAGCTCAAATACCAACTATAACAACAACAAGGTAATAACAATACAGCCTGAAATCCTAAATAACAAAAACAAAGTAATAGCAATACAGCCTGACAGCCCAAATAAGAACTAAACACCCTATCACTCATACCATGGGACACACTATTACAACAGTAGCACTACTGACACCCCTGTAATCATAACAACTCCAGCCAGGGTACAAAGGAAGTGTGTGATATTACTCTCCCAGCCCTTTTATGAAGTGATCCCAATGTCCAGTAATTGTACATTACAATGTGTAGGGACTGGAGCCTGCAGTGAGAGCTGATATAAATCAATAATCAATAGGTCACTATCTAGACTACATGAATGTCACTCAGCTCCTTAGACCCCAAAATTCACCAATCCTACAGAACTAGTTGTAATAAGTGTTGTCATAATTGAGAGCTAATATAGCATTAGTAATTGACCCATATGTTGGACACTTTTAATGTCCTACATGTTTTTTTAGCATGTGTAAAGTATGGTATTTGTAAAGTTACTCTCATTCAAAATCTTATGATGTGATCCCCGCAATAAACTAATTGTATCATGGGAAATCATAAAATATCATGGGAAAGTGATTGAGGTATCAATAATCAATCATTATGTTTGAGTTGTGATTATTCCATATGATCATTAATTTATGGTGCAATATTTATGCTGCTGAAGAGAAGTAAGTTAACCCCTAAAGGATGCATGACGGAAAATTTCTGTCATGCAGTATTTTTCTAGCATGATCTATTACCTTGCTGGTAAGTATGAGCCCCAGGTATCATTGATTCTGCCAGAATTAGTGGCCCCAGACTGACCAATGCTCTGTTTTGCAGAGCTCAAACTAAGCGCTGCAAACAAGCATTTAAATGGGGATTTAAATCCCCACTATTACAATTTGGTGTGATCAGGGTTAAATCCCTGCTCACACAATGGAGCAGGGCCGGCGCCACCGTTAGACAAACTAGGCATTCGCCTAGGGCACTGGCCTGCTGGGGGCGCCCACCGTGATATTTCCAGGTGGGCTCCCCCTGTATGGGTCCGCAGCGCTTGGCGGGCGGCTCTAGAGCTGCCCCCCTTAGCGCCGGGCGCTCCTCCAGGCGCCCGAAGGTGGGGCGCCTGAAGGTGGGGCACCCAGAGGAGCCATGTCACAGCGTGGCAGAGCAGGCACCTTCTTACCTTGATGACAGGTGCCTGCTCTGCCATCAAGTGCCGGTGACCGTAGGAGAATGCAGGCGGCAAGGGAGGCTCTTCTTGCAGCCTCTCACTCCTCCCACGCCGCCGAGTGAGTGTGTGAGTGAGTGAATGTCTGTCAGTGAGTTTCTGCGTGTGTATGTATGTCAGTGTGTGTGTGTGTCTGTCAGTGAATGAGTGACATGAAGGGGGCAGCAAAAATCCTTGCACCGGCCCTGAGTGTAAGCAGGGTTAAATTTTTGCTCACACCAGGATACCTAGGTATCAATAGAAACCTGGGGCTTCCCTCTGTCAGCTGGGGGCATGTTTAGTGGCCCCAGACGTTTTGATGAGCTGCGTACAGTGCTGAAAGTCAGCACTGCATGTAGCCCTTTAAATTCACAAAGAACACTGCAGCTGAGCGATCATGCTCAGCTACAGTCATTCTCTCAAGTGATCTGGTGCTTGGGAGACCCCCAGGGTCTGAAGAGACCCTGGAGGGTCACTCTCTATGCCCCAATGCTATTCTGATCAGTGCTGGGCTTTTTCAGTTGCCCAGCACAGATTGCATTGCATTGCATTGGGCATAATGTCTACCACTGTCTGTTTTAGTTTAAAATCCCTTTACTAATATCAGTACTGATATTAGCAGAGGGAAACCTTTGGGATTAAGATTAAATTAAGGATTATTTAGTTTAGAATAAGTATTAGATTTATAATCAGGTTTATTATTGGGTTTATTATTAAGTTTAAAATTAGGTTTATAATTAATTGTAGTATTGGGATTATGTTTCAGATTAGGATTAGGGTCAGCAGGGCATCCCTTGCTGAATATAGCAAGGGAATTCCTCTGTTGACACCAGCAGGGGGAATCATTTTAACACTATTGCTAAAGGTAGGATTGAGATTAGGGTTACATATGGGATTACGTCATGGGTTAGGATTGTGGTAAGGGTTTATGATTAGATTGAGGGTTAGATTTGGGATTAGGATTTGGGATTAAGATTAAGTTTGCTACTTTATGCATATGGGGTATATTTGTACTGAGAAGATGTTGCTGAGTACAGATAATTTTATAACAGTGGGACACACGGGATTTAAAAAATAAGCATAAAAAAAACCGATGTGTATGTAAACACAAACTTTGAAACAAAATGGTAACAAAATGTCACTTTAATAAAGCTTATAATATTTTATGTGAGAGTCCCTATGGTGTCCACTTTTGTAAATGGTATGCATTAGTGGTGTAATTTAAATATATGAGTGACTAAAATGCCCCAAAATGAAACAAAGACCCATCGTCAATTTGCCATTAAAAACCCCCCAAAAAACTGTGCTGGGCCGGGTATGATTTTAGACCTGTATTTTCACAAACACCTGGCTAAAGTATACAAAAGGGGTCATTTTGTACTCAGGAAATATAGCTGAGAATAATTTAGTGATTTTACTTTACAGTAGCATATATCAAGTATCAAAAATTAACCACTAAAATACGTGTGTATAAAAATGCAAGAATAAAACAATATGATAAAATTTGAAAGAAATTGGTACTAACATAACTGTATAATAAAGCTCAAAATATACTATATGACATAGCCCATGGTGTCTACTTTCACAAATTGTATGCATTTATGGGGTAATTTTAACTGTCAGACTGCTACAATGCCCTAAAATGTCATATAGATACATCAAATTCATTCATTTATCAAAATTCTAATTGTAAAAGCTGTAATGGTCAGGACTCTTTTTAATGTAGCTTCACAGGATAGTTGCAAAGACATACATTGGGGGTATTGTTTTATTCTTATTCAGAAGAGTTTGCCAAGCATAATTATGGGGGTTTGGTCACAGTGGCACATACCAGACTTGAAAAATGACCCCCAAAAATGTAATGTGTATGTAAAAAAAATGCAAAAAAATATATTACCACAAAGTTTGACATAAACTGGTGAAAAAGTACCATTACGTTAAGGCACAATATACACCATATGACAGGGCTTGACAAATTTGCTTTCAATCTAGGAGCCAGGTAAAAAAGTTGGGAGCCATTTTTTTTCCAACGACAGAAATACAATTCTTAAAAGGACACTATACTCGCCAGAACTACTACAGCTTAATGTGTATGTTAGTGGGGGCTGGCTGCAGCTGATGGGAGCAGCTGTGGTTGTTCCAAACTCCCCTCCTTCTTTCTCCTTACTCCCATGCAGACCTCTGTGTGCCAGGAGGAAGTCAAGGGAACTGTAATTACTTCCTCCCGGCGCGCAAGGGAAAGGGCGGGCAGCCGGCTCTACTTAAAGGGGCGGGCTGGAGGGCTGGCTCTGAGGGATGCGGATGGCTGGGCCGACTCTGAGGGTTGTGGATGGCCGGGCCGGCCCTGAGGTCCAGCTTTGCTCAGTGTGGGTGGGCGGGCTCGGAAGAATGCGGGCGGGCGGCAAGCTGTCAGTCTTTAAATGCTGCCCTTCAAGCTTGCAATTTTCCTGTGGGAGGAAGGAGGGAACGGGCCGACCAATCAGTGTGGGTGGGCGGGCTCGGAAGAATGCGGGCGGGCGGCAAGCTGTCAGTCTTTAAATGCTGCCCTTCAAGCTTGCAATTTTCCTGTGGGAGGAAGGAGGGAACGGGCCGACCAATCCCAGACGCCAGGGCAAAATTCTTAGTCGCCACGGCAACAGGGTGCCTGGGATTTGTGGAGCCCTGCCATATGAGATACACTGTAGTGTCTACTTTCACAAATGGTAGGTCCTTGAGGGATAAATTCAACATTCAAACTACTACAATGCCCCAAAATGAGACTCGCACCCATCAAAATTATCACTGTGAAAAAAATGGTCAGGTCTCTTTTATTGCACTGTAACTTCACAGGATAGTGGCAAAGGAATAGATTGAGGTATCGTTTTACTCAGTAGATATGGCTGAACACAATATGGGGTTTTCTACAGCAGTAGTATATATCAGCTTTATGAAATACACATTAAAAAACCTTGTATGTTAGAAATCTAAAAAAAACACAATTTTACTACATAATTTAGCAGAGGTTTGCGGCAAAATGGCTAAGTGTCAGAATACCCTTAGGTAAATAGCCTGTGATGTGTACTTTATATAAATATAAAGTTTTGTGTGGCAATTTTGCTTTCTGTGATGGCTATTAAGCTTACACGACAAACATACCAAATTCTAAAATAGCTCCATATTAAAATTTTATTTTACTCCTTGTATTTTGTGACCTGTAACTTTCAAAATAAGCTGAAATCCTAGGCATATTATGTACAGCCTGCACTGAGTAAAGTGGCAAAGGTTAGCTATCGCTTCTTGATTGGATTACTTGACATTCAAACATGCAATTAATAAGCGGTTATAAAAGTGCTGGAAACTGCAGCCTTTGCTGATGACCTCTTGTTTTTCGTTTTTCTTTCTTTAACAATTTATCGGGCGGGATTAGAGGGTGGAGCAAAGCTGTTTGTTCAACGCCTATTAAGCATCCAGTAGAAATCTGTATACTGGTTTTAAGTGAATTGAGGCTTGTTAGTATTTGGTCATTAAGTCTTCCTCGCATGATAATAATAGTGTTAAAATATGTTCATACCGCTGTCTTTGTGGATCTCAGTTATTGCTCTTTGAAATAAAAATTCTGAAAATCAATACAATTACATTTAATACATAAGAACATTTATCAAGTTAACTGCCAGAATTGGATACTGTATATACAAAATCAGTTGCCACCTATATTTAATTCAATGTTATCATGATTGGTGATTAGATTTGTACAGTAACCAATTCACTTCTATCTGATGTGATCCTGTTATGGATGATTATTAGGTCTCCAGGATGCATCCTCAATAAACTTGTTATTGAGGACTGTATTGGAAAGTAAATCACAAGGTGAGTGAATATTGAAATTGAAGGTAGAGGAGACCCTTGAAACAAGGGGATCCTAGATAGTAACTCTAAATACACAGAAAAGGAAATGGACCAGATAGCTTCAGGGAAAGTGGAGAGGCAACAGATACATTGCGCAGTTATGATAGAGAAAAAGGTTAAATAAACCCCCAGCAAGCATCCCAGAATAGGTAGGAGGGTAAATAGGAAAGGAGAACCCCCCCCTTCCCCTTTTATGTTAGCTGCCTGAAATAATTCAGATTGAGCAGACTGGCCTTGCTGTCCACAAAGCAAAAAACAAACACAAAGGAGCCCCCACACTAGCGATACAGTAGTAGGATAGCCTGCCTGTCAAAAATAGAAGAGACTTCCAGGGTTGGTAACCCTAACACCAATAAATGTTGCAAAGCTCCCCCACAGGATAGTGCTAAACTAACTACAAACGCTAATTCCCTATGTCCGGTCCAACAGGGTGCTAGATGCAAACACTAATAAGAACATAAGTGCTGCCTAAGTGCTAAGTGCTACCTAGTGAAAAAATAATAAATAAAAATGTGAAACACTCAACGCACGTTTCAGCGTGACTACTCGCCATCGTTAGGAGTGTGATCCTGTTATGGATGATTATTAGGTCTCCAGGATGCATCCTCAATAAACTTGTTATTGAGGGCTGTATTGGAAAGTAAATCACAAAGTGAGTGAATATTGAAATTGAATTTACAATTGTTACATACATTATTTATTGCTGCTTAAATTTAAATTATTACCGTATTTTAAAGATCATTAATGAAGGGCGAATAAGAGAATCCCCTGTTTAACCCTAGGTGGGGTTAAGGTTTTTAAATGGTAGATCCAAAAACATTCTCTTCGCCTAAGGCGTTTGTCCAAGTTTCCTTTGATCTAATTTGACCAATTCAATGCCCAGGAACTTCAGTACAGTGGGGTCGCCATGATGTACTGACTTAACATGTCTAGAGACTGGGGTCTCTCTATTTTGAGTAGTCCTCACTGAATTAATGTGTTCCAATATTCGCCGTTTGAATGGACGAAAAGGTTTGCCCACATACATCATATTACATTGACATAAAATTAAGTAGATGACACCTTTGGTATTACAATAAAAAAATTAGGGTTGAAATTTTTCCATGTGAGCGCTGTTTTCAAAGAATTTTGAGTTTTTACAGATGAAATTACATGCTTTGCAATGTCCACTCCTATAGGTACCTATCAATTTGTTTGACGGCCAGTGGGTAAAAGGTGATGTATTTTTGGAAAATGCCATGCACCAAAAGGTCATTAAGATTTTTTTCCCATTCTGGCTATTGTTGATGCACTTGGTGGAATTCCATCCTTCAGATGTTTGTCTTGTTTGAAGAGTGGCCAGAATCTGTTCATAATGGCTTTAACCTGATCCCAACCTGCATCGAAAGTCGCCGCACATCTAAGTTTTTTTTTTTTGTTTTTTTTTTTATCTGAGTGACTGTAAGCCGAAGGGGCAGTATTATCTTCCCTTAAAAGGCTATCCCTTTCCTTTAAGAGAGCTCTATGATAGGCTCTCTTCAAGCATTTGTTTGGATAGCCTTTTGCTCTAAATATGAAACATAGTTCCTTTGCCCTTTTCTGAACGTCCTCAACATCCGAACAGTTTTTTCTAAGTCGTAGGTATTACCCTGTTAGAATGCCTCTTTTTTTTTTTTTTTTTGGTGAGCTGGGTGGAAACTACCCAAGTTCAACAGGCTGTTGGTGGCAGTACTTATTCTGAATAGATCAGTTTAAATTTTTCCATTTGGCTCAGGAGTCAAAGTTATGTCCAGGAAGTTGAAAAACAGATTGCCTACCTCTGCAGTAAATCTCAGATTCAATATGTTGTTATTTAAGGATTGTACAAATAGGAAGAAGTCTTCACACGATCCTATCAAAATGATCAGAATGTCATCAGTGTATCTCTTCCATGACATTGGACAAATCTGTTGAGGGTCAGAGAAGACTACTTTTTTCCCAACAACCCAGGTGCAGGTTGGCATATGAGGGAGCACAAGACGTCCCCATCGCCGTCCCCTGCACCTGGTGGTAGTATATCCCGTCAAGTATAAAAAAAAGTGTGGGTTAATACAAATTTTAGATTGATTGTAGAATCACTATGTTTTTCTAGATGTACTCCCCTTTTAGTCAAAAAGTATTTGACATGTTTGAGGCCTAAGTTGTGTGAAATTGAGCTGTACAAGGCTTCAACATCCAAACTATAAAGTATAGAATTAGTGGGCATCCTTTCAAATGCCAAGTCTGCTAAAGTTTGCTTTGTATCCCTTAGGTATGAGGGTAGGCTAATTACCAGCGGTCTTAAAATACGGTCTACATAAATGCTCACCTTTTGTGTCATATTTTCGTTCCCTGACACTATAGGTCTTCCTGAAAGTACTGGACTTTGTGTCTTGGGTCGACTGTAAAATATATATAAACGTGGGTTTCTGATAAGCATAAATTCATATTCATTGTTGGAGATCAGATTTTCACGAAGTCCTATTTGTAGGATCTTTTTTAACTTAAAAAAAAAAAAATGCCGTTGTAGGTGGTTACATCAGTAAGACTTTTCTTTGCTATGTCGACATATTGTGAGGTATCTAGGATTACAATATTCCCCCCTTTATCAGAAGGTTTAATGGTTATCCCCTCCCTCTTTCGTAGGTTCCTTAAGTGCTTGGTCTTCCCTCATTGTTAAATTGGAATTAGTTTTAGGGATGGTGGAAATAGTGTCTTTCCCTACATACCAATTCTACAAATGTTTCAACATATGTGGATCCCCCAAGTTGTGGACAATATTCACTCTTTTTTTTTTTTTTCTCAAGTCAGTAAGGGGACTGTGAGTTCCCCCCTCTAAATAATTTTCAGCTAACAATTCTGATAACAAAAGTGTTAATTGATAGTCCCTTGGCTTAAGGCCTAAGGCTTTTGCTTTTTTCTCATTTTTTGAACATTGTGTAGCATTCATTTTCTTGTGAAAAGGTGAACATCCTTGACACAGTTGAACTTCTCAAAGTGTGGAGTTGGGATAAATGAAAGTCATTTCCGAAGTACTTAAAGTTCTAACTGGGTCAAGGTATGTTTGGACAAATTCATGACTTGATTATTGGCTACTGTCTGTTCAAACCAGTAAAGGTGGAGTGTGTTGCCTGTAATTCTGTGTCCGAACTGCTCGATTCATACTCAGGCGTAGAGACCTGATCTTTATCTATTCTTCTCTTTCTCTAAAACTTCCTTTACACATTTCCAGTTTTAAAGTCTTTATGGTCTTTTAGATATTTTTGATGTTTTCTTTGTTTAATAATCGCCTGGTATTTTTCCAGAATATTTTAAAGTTTATTTTCATTTAGACTAAAAGTTGGATCCTGCTAGAATTGCTGCACTTTTTCAATTTATTTATCTACTTTATCTACTTTTGTTATTTCTTACTTTCGTATTTGCAGATAATCTGCATTAATCGAGCTGAACATTGGCCTGCAGCTTCCTCCTATTCCTTCACAAATTCATCCTATGCAATATTTGTAGTGGGTATAGTAGGTACTCTAAGGCCCCTGCGAATCAGTCCCTTTTTTAAGATAATTTTTCTAGGTAGGATATTTCCCATCTAGTCCTAATCTGTTGTTTATATAGATTGGTCAGAGAGTTGAAGCCTGCAGTCAAAGAATAATTATCCCCCCCTTTCCATTTCAAATTAGATTCAGAGAACACTAATTCAGCATCCAGATACCACACAGAAGCATCCTTTTTGTTAGAGAGGAATCCTGCTATTATTTCTTCTTGGAATATGATCTTTAAAAAAAAAAATAAAAAAATAAAAAATTTTTTAAAGCGACATTAGTTTGCTTAGTATCTCCCTATTCCCATTTTCCCATACCAGATAGGAATTCCATATTTCTATTGGAACTCTTCCTTATTATTTTGATAAAATAAGGGTTAGACACTGAATTAGGGTATGGATTAGGATTAAGGTTACTTTTATTACCTTTAGATTTGGGATTAGGTAGTTTAGGGTTAAGGATTTAGACTGGGAATCATTTATTCACAACACTATCTGACCCCCTTACTGATACCGGAGAAACTGACGGAAGCAAAGCACAGAGGGATGGACACAGGTTTCTTCAGGAAGGAAGAGATTCTTTATTGGATCACCGATCGGGACTCAGAGGGACTAATGTCACCAAAAATACAGCAAGTTCTGAGCCCTGAACAATAGTGCAGGCTCCCTATATAGGCACATAACTCCTCCCATTAATAGCTACACCCACATATACCTTTAACCAATCAATGAGCAGAATATAGACTTGTACATCTAGTCAAACCACATGGCCCATCCAAGACAAAGGAAATAAGTGCAATTTCAGTTCCTGCATTCCTGCACATGCTCAGTACACTGATGACAGTATCCTAGCTACATGTAGCTAACCAACTGACACAACATACACATATGCCACATGGAGATTTTGGCCTACTAAATTTTAACCATGCTGGAATCCCATCACATTCCCCCCTTTGATGCCTCTTGATATTTTACAATTACTTGAGGCATCACTTAACCTTGGTTTGCATACACCACAAGTTACCTTTGAACCAGACCAGACTTATCCTATGATGTGAATCTTCAACACTCGTCTTCCTGCATTGGTTCTCCCTGATCTAGAGCCTTATATTTATAAATTGCCATTATCTGTGCAGCAGCCTTCCTCTCTGCTATATTTTCTATCAGGCTTTGCACAGACCTAACTACTAAGGGTATAAGACACGGCAGGAGTAGACACAACATTAAAATCAGTAGGACTCCACCTACCACTGCCTTAAGCCCTCCAAACCACTCATACCAGCTACCAAACCAACTACTTGGATTGTACCCTTTCCATACCTGAGTAGGCACATGCGCTAGTTTAACCATGTGGCTTGTAAGTTCAGCTATTGCTTGCCCTTCGTCATCTATTTGAAGACAGCAATTGCTCAGGTTAAACTTCCCACATACACCTCCCTCTACTGCCAAAAGATAATCCAAGGCTAATCTATTTTGGTAAACTGCTGTCCTCATCCTGGTATTATGCTTCGCTAGAAGATTGAGCGCTTGTGATGTCTCGTTAGTAATGATCTCAACCACCGCCTGTAACCTTATAATGCGGTTGAGCATATAAATAGGGGTTCTATAACCAAAGGTACCATCCTCTGCCCACGTGGCTGGCCCATAATAATCTATAATACGCTGGGGAGGCCATTCATTATCTTCCCAGGCACCTATCTCTATGGGTCCCCTTTTCTTCCTATGATTCACATCATACACTTTAACACCTAAAGTCTCACCTGTTTCAATAGGCAACAAGAAGAAAGATGGCTTTGGCATACCTAATACACATGCCCCTTCCCAATCTTGTGGTAACTCCGAATAGGCCTTCTTACCACAGATCCAGTACAAATTCGCTGGGGCTCTCCAGTTAGATGTGATGGATAGATCAAACCATACGTCCTTTAAATTGGCATATCTTGCAAACGGGTTAGATGGTTCTGAGACATTTGAAGCTGACCACCAAGTAGTATTTTTAGTATTAACATTATAGGCTTTTTGTCCCAAGCACGTTAGCTCACCTACAGACGTGTTATACATTGTCCCTTTCCTGGCTATACAAACATGACCTATAATGGAGGTTTTTAACCACCATTCCAATTTACTTCTAGTACTTACTTGATGATCAGACTGGAAAGGTATCTGTTGTTCATATGTCTCAGAGCCAGGGTACCATATTTCCTTTGCCTCCCATGGCCACTGGTCTCCCATATTAGTACCTCCACACACATAGCAATTAGTTACATTAAGACTACCTGCAATACCCTCAGCCAAATCAATAAATAGGTTGTTAACATTATGGGGAATTTTATCCTCAATACTCATCTCCTCATAGAAGGAATGAGAAACCTGATGAGTTTGAGTTGCCACTGTCTCAGTTTCAAGACCTACATATATTATTGTTCCTGAATCTACTCCTGTGCCATATATTTGAACCCAAACAGACCTCCAAACCTGTCAATAAAGTACTGCAGATTGGAAATGGTCATGTGAACGGGGTTACACACATAGTTTTACAGTATGGTGTGGTAGGCAACCTTTGGATAATCATATCTTGATCCACTGTTTTTCCCAGGTTGCCCAACCTACACATGACCAATAGGGGCAGAAGTTAGTCTCTATTTGGGCAATCAGGATCAGTAGATCTTTTACTGGGACATAAGTATTTATCATTAAACCCATAAGTTCGTTCCCATTTAAGATTACCACATACATTCCAAAGTCTTCCACTACCCGAAATCGCCTTACATGCATCAAATAGTAGAATACCCGTGGAATGTATGGTGCTTATCACAGTCCTATTTATTAATGTCCCCTGGGAGTTACTATTCCGAATTACCAACCAAATTGTACGGGGTTGGAAATGGGGATCAAAACATTTAGACTCTCCTGATATTGGCTTGCACACACTATAATCAATATCCAAATATCTACATTTAGATACAGATCCCTTACATTCATACTGTGAGTGCCAGATGAAAGTTTGGGATATTTGGTTACCTGTTTTAGTAGTCTTAATGCAACTATCGCAATTCGGTATGTCTGTACTCCTACCTTCCTGAAAAATCATAAAAATACTAAGACACAATAAAACACATTATTCCTGAAATCCTCATTTTTCTTCAACCGTGCGATGGCCTCTCAGCTTCCCGATTGTGAGGGCTGCAAGGATGTTGTTCTTCTGATCCTCACTTTCCTTCACAGAGATCCCTTCAAGATACTCTGGCTATGACACGTAGGCAGGTGGTCAGGCTTTATTATGGCCGTCAAAACACCTACTTGATGATCTTTGTAGACTTTTAACTAGAATGTCTCGATATCCCCTCGTCACTCCGACTGAGTTGCACGCTTCAACCGGGTCCTGCAAGGATTCTCAGGATCTGGAGTAGCTTGCCAAGAGTCTGCTGCTGGTTTAACCTTAGAATGATGAATCCAAGGAGTCACTTCCGCCACCTTTACAGCTGTTGGGGTAGATAAAAGAACAACATACAAAGGCTAACAGGATACACCCCGAGCTTTAACTCAATATGTATTGGTGGGATATTACGAGCAAGTCCTGGAGGATTATTTTCTTCCCATACTCCTGGAATGTCAAGTAAGGATTCATCACTCTTAGGGTTAACACTTGTCACTATGGAATAGAAGCGTCATTCTTCTTCCCTCGGCACCGATATCACCATTATGCCTGGTAATCCCTTAAACTTCAGAGATGTTAATCCATTAGGTAAAAGGTTATCTGAGTTTAAAGCTTCGATAATAGATCTCGTCCTAAAAGTTGAGTCGGACACTCTGGCATATATAGGAACTAATGCTTCACCACATGGCCTCCCAGAATACAAGTGCGACTCTTAAGAACCGGTCTAGCTGCACTTCTCCCAGTAGCTCCTATCACAGTTATAGTCTTCCCCGAAGGCGGAGCCACCATCTTAGTCACCACAGAATGTTCAGCACCTGTGTCGATCATGAAAGAACTTCTCTTTCCCCCTATTGCTACATCGACCATAGGCTACGCTCGACCAAGTGGGATGGAGCCCAGTCGGTATCAATAGTCTTCCATGATAGTGTCAGCCAGACCCACAAAATCTCTATCCTCTCTTTCTCTAGGTCTCTGCGTGGGTGGATAGTATCTGTCTCCTTGAACACTTCCTCTACTATTCCCACCATTCCCTCTAAAACTTCCTCTTACTCTATAACTACCACTATAACCTCCTCTCTCCTTATCTATCACCTTCATACTGCTCTCTCTGTGGACACTCACTCTTCCAATGTCCCTCCTTTCTACAATACGCACATTAATTCCTACTTAAAGTCCCTTGCTCAGCCTATTCTCGTCTCCTCTATTCACTTCCCTGTCTTTCTACACTTAAGATAGCTACCGCTAGCATATCTGCCTTTTTCCTCATTTTACGTTCTTCCTCCATCTCCCTATTCATATATACTGTATTTGCAATCTCCATTAGCTGTATTATGGACATCCCTACAAATCCCTCTAATTTTCTTTAATTTCCTTTTACTATCACCTTGGGCCTGGCTGACAAATGCTGAGTCTATCATTCGGAAGTTTTCAGGGGCCTCTGGATTAAAGGGAGTATACAACCTATTTGACTCAAGCAGTGTCTAATATGGGACTTCGGCAAGGCTGCCCAATAATAGGTTCCAGTCTAGGAGTAGTAAGATAATTTTATTAGTCAGCATTTGGTGGATGAAAAAACGTTTTTTTTTTTTAAAGTGTTAAACCAAAAACCTACCAGTAGGTGTCACCAGAGGGTAATTGTATCAAAATAATCTTTATGGGTCTAATAAGAAAACTCAACTTTTAATATATTTATACATAAAATAAAACCTTATAGCAATAAATATATTAAAATAGGGTAAGCAATCCTACATCTATCTGTTATAAACAATGTATTATCAATGTAACTCCCGAAGATGGCCAGTAGGTGGCTTAGAGTGCCTCCCTAAAGTCAAATGAAACAAATAGACTTTAATTAATTATGTCCTATTTTATTATTACTTATTTTAATCAATGTCCACCCTGCTAGCTAGGCTTGATTAAATCTTTAGTTCTAAGGTAAATTAAACATTTCAGTTTGTAGTTTAGTAAAAGGGGACATTTTGGACAAAGCTGGGAGGGGCCCATCCAGTAACTAAAAAAAACCAATATACCATTTGATACCATTGATCATTGATTAGGGGGAGGGGTAGTACAGAAATACAAGAGTTTGAAACACAGGAACAGATAGGTATGTGGGTAGGCGGGGACAGTAGAGCAGGGGAGTGCAAATACTGATTATACCAGCCAGAAATGGGCGTGGCTAATCTGGCTCTGGAGGATGTTTGGGGGGTTGGTAATCAGATGCCAGGGGGGGAGGGGATGTCCAAAGCAGTTGTAATTAAGTCCTTAGTTCTGACCACCATGTGGCTACATTGTTTCCCATGTGACACAGTTTAATTCACCAAGGCAACAATCAGTTTCCAACAGTCAATATATAGAAACTGATCATAGAATTCCAGCCTACTAGTTACAGCCACATGTACACTCTGCACTAAATTTAAGTGAAGACTGCTACATGGAGGCCATGCGGCCACCAGGACAAGCTACTCCCTACTTTTTTTTTTTTTTTAAACATACAAGACAAAAGACTAACAGCCAAGTGAATCAGATTATTTCAACAGAACGTCTGATTCAAAAAGCTGTACAAATATACACACAGTTTCAACAGTCACACCAATCTCCTTATCACCAGCAACACATTGCGCAGTCACTAGGCCCAAACACACACACAGGATCCTCACATGCTCAACAATATCACGACGTCGCACACACAAAATTAAATCAAAACCCCACCAAAGACTATACACTTATCAATGTAACTATTATTCAAACCATACAACTATCCACGCTATTAATCCATATAAACTAACCGATCACATAACATTTCAACAAATTCATCTCTACAATTATCTGTACTATAAATCAACTTTTGACTAACCAACTATATCACATTCTAGTAACCTCATCTTTACAGTCAGTGGTTATGGTACAGTTAGTAAGTGGTTATAATACAGTTTTAAAGTCACAGATCAGTTAGTAACAGTTATGGTATTATACATATAACATAAAACAGCAATTGTTAGTAATTTTTACACAATGTCAGTGGTTATGGTACATGTCAGTAGTTATGGTACCGTGCGCTATTTTACAGTTATACACACAATTTACACTCCCACTAGACAGCAGAGCTCTAACTTTCTAGTAGGACATACAAGTTAACCAATTCACCAACTACAATATATTTAACAACATTTACAATAATCCCAACTAAACTATTGGCCAGTACCTTGAATAGACTACCTAAAACTATATACACCCGTTTTGGTTAGCCACACTGCCCAAGCACCACATATAGCGAACTAGAGGGCGGAAATTGCCCTTCTAGTCTATTTACTCTATCAAAAGTCTAGTGGGTTCCAAATTTACACGCCTTCCCACTTAGCCAAGATAGGTTGAGAGCTAGCGAACCGAATTTACACAGGCGCCGCTTAGTCTCCCGGTCCCTCCGACCTAGCGAACGTAATATACACCCTAGAACGCTAGTCTAGACAAGACACCGGTGTCCGGCTAGGGCTATTTACACAGGACCCCGCCTGACTAACCAGATCAAAACGGTCTTACTAAAGAGCGTTCGATCGAGCGGTGCGCCTTCGCTCCTTCCCTCCGACAGAGGGGGCAGATTCCATACACAGATTTAAACCCCTTTTGGGCCTACCGCACAATCGGTATACCCCTAGTGGGTCTGCCGTCTAAAACAGCAGTTGTCTTACCTCCTCGTTCCTGAACCTGAGTTCACACTCATCGACGGGGACACCCCAGCACTTCTTACGTAGAGGCCGATGATCTCCTGGACAACAGACCAGTGGCGCCGAGACGAAGGGAGGTCCACGCAGAAGTTCAGGGGTGCAGCCGTAGAGAACGTGGGCAAAGATAGACCGTCTCACGCCTCTGCCTCTCAGCTACCGTTGAACGATGAGCTTCCCGGCCAATGCACCAAATGATACCGGAGAAACTGACGGAAGCAAAGCACAGAGGGATGGACACAGGTTTCTTCAGGAAGGAAGAGATTCTTTATTGGATCACCGATCGGGACTCAGAGGGACTAATGTCACCAAAAATACAGCAAGTTCTGAGCCCTGAACAATAGTGCAGGCTCCCTATATAGGCACATAACTCCTCCCATTAATAGCTACACCCACATATACCTTTAACCAATCAATGAGCAGAATATAGACTTGTACATCTAGTCAAACCACATGGCCCATCCAAGACAAAGGAAATAAGTGCAATTTCAGTTCCTGCATTCCTGCACATGCTCAGTACACTGATGACAGTATCCTAGCTACATGTAGCTAACCAACTGACACAACATACACATATGCCACATGGAGATTTTGGCCTACTAAATTTTAACCATGCTGGAATCCCATCACATTACCACCTTAAAGATAGTAAAATATTACCATTATTCCAAGCTGCTAGTGCTGGCTCTGCCTCTGATTTGGGAACTAGCAAGGTACAACAGGCAGAAGTTCATTGATTAAAGCACCACCTAGTCATATTTTGCTGTAAATTGTCCCTACTTTGTTTTAACTTTGTCTTTTGCATCTTGCATTTTATATATAATTTCCATTATCTTGTAGAATCTATACTGAAATAATACCAAGTTGTTCTGGAGTCAAAAATAGGCAGTCTGGTTTTAGATAGTTGTATGTAGTAAAATAATATGAATGTGTGTGTATAGCAAACTCAAATTCATGATTACGCATTAATAATGAAAACAAAGAGTTAGAGATGACAGTTATCTATTTTTATTAATATTAACTTACTGAATTTTTTTATATACATGTCAAAAGCTCAGTCTTTCTTCACAGTTACTTAAAATGTTCCCAGTCATACGGGGGCTTTGTGAGTGTATAAAGAAAAGTACAAAGTTTCTATGGCAACTCGGTAAAAAAAGCTTGTTCTTCAATAAAACTCCCCCTCTTGCATTGTGGCAATGCGAATAATCATATCTGGCGTCTCTATTCAATTAATGGTGTGCATACCAGGATTCAAAATGTCAAACTCTGACCTAATAGCAGTCTTGTGCTTTGGGCAATGTTTTACCGGGAGTCCTTGGGTCCTGGCATTCATGTGGGTGTTGTTGACACTAACCACTAGGGATGCACCGAAATGAAAATTCTGGGACGAAACCGAAAATTACCTTTTTTTTTTTTTCCCCTCAAATGATTTTAAAATCGTTTTTCTGGGGGGGCGGGGCCTGACAGCCAAGATGGACAGACGTATTCTGCACTAGCTCCAGCACAATTGAGCAACAAATAAGCCTTTTATGCTCCATACCACGCTGGATTCAGCTCTAATCAACTTGTACACTGTCTGTAAACGAGTAGGCAATTGTGGCTCATCAAGCTGACCAGAGACAGCAATTCCACACGTTGCCTGACAAAGAGGCCTAGCTTAAATTGCTGCCAAGCGCCTGGGAGAGACGGCCCCTCTCCCGGCACGAAGCAAGCCCCCAACGAAGTATGCTCTGGAGCCCCGCCTCCCCACTTTTGGACCGGTGGGGGTTATCCCGGTCCGCCCTGGAGACTTCAAACTACCCACTACAAGGGAACTCCAGGCTAGCCAGTGAACCGCATGGCACTCCCAAAATGGCTGCCGCAGCACAACACAAACAACGAGAGCACAAGCTCACCCACAAGCTTTTTTTTACAAAAAAACAAAACAAAAAAACAAGCTCACCCAGTGCAGGAGACAGAGCTTTGAGGCCCATTTCAAAAAGATCTGGTGGGAATTCTAGGCTAAAATACCAAGCAGACCTCCAGCCTCTACTACTCGTAATAAACCTGCTGCCCGAGCTGCTGAGCCAAGACTCTGACCAAGCTCTGCAGTAGGGAGTCACGGAAGAAAATCCCCACCTAACTGCCCGCGTTACTGACGGACCTCCCGCAGGGTCACTTGATGGTGTGCTCGTGACCCTGTGGAGATCAGACGGAGGATCCGCAGACCTGCTGCCATACACCCTCGCAAGAGGCCTGTTTGAGGTCCACACAGCATGAAGGCAAGCAGTGGCGTTATACACAGCCTGAAACTGGACTGTAAAGTGTGGCAGCACTTTCCTGTGGCCTCTCTGAGCTTCCCAATAACGGGAGTCGGCTGACTGTACCATCAGGCATATTGCTGCAGATCTGATTCATCCCTGATTGAAACGGATGTATCCTAACTCACTAACCCCCTTATGTTTCATAGTCATCTAATTTCTTATCTTTTAATTTTGCTTTAATAGCCCATTCAGTTCCAGTGGCCTTATTACTGTACTGTCTTACTATCATGTTTTATAATGCATTCTATTCTTGCCTACCAAGTGCTGGTATTAACAGGGCCGCCACCAGAAATTTTGGGGCCCCTAACTCCGCTCAGGGTCTGGGCCCCCCCGAGGGCCCGCCTCCAAATCCCGCCCACAGGAATACACACACAGACACAATAACACACACTGATACAAAAGGACACAGATACATATACACAGATACATACTAACAGACACACATACTGAAACATACACACATATAGACATATATACTGAGACATACACACATATACAGACACACAGGCATGCATAGTGACAGACAGACACATACTAACATACATACAGGCACACATGCATAAGGACATACAGACACCAACATACATACACACATACAGACATGCATACAGACACTGACATCCATTCACATTCATAATGACATACTGACATACATTGACACTGGCATACATACATACAGACAGACATGCGTACTGACATACATGCATACAGACACTGTCATCCATACACACACGTACATTAATGACATACATTCATACTGACATACATATATACATACAGACATACATACATACATACATCCACATACATACATAATGACATACAGACATACATACATTCATACATACTGACACATTCATACAGACATGCAGATATACATATATACATACATATAGACAGACAGAGAGACACACACACACACAGCTCATTTTTCAGCCACCCTCCTGTTTCTTACCTTGTCTTTGCAGGAGGGTGTCTGGGGCTGCTGGGAGTCGGCGTGGCTCTCTCTCTTTAAGCCCACCCTGTTTCACCTCCCGCGTGGAATGAGCTGGGAGGAAGTGATCACTTCCTCCCAGCAGCACTTGAGTTGCGGCTGCATTTTTTTATTAATTTTTTTTTAAAGGGCCCGGTCGCGCTATTACACGGCCACAGCGCTGACCGGGCCCCTGAAGATATAGGGCCCATCAGCAGTTCCACCGCTACACGTGGCCTCCGGGCCTGTGACAACCATCATGGTTGTTAACCCCTTGATAGCGGCCCTGGGTATTACTTTCAACTCGTGCTCTAAGCAGTGGTCAGCCGATATTCTTGTTAATATTCTTGTTAATCAAACATGTTTATGACCTACATCTAAATGTGTATTCCTGAAGGAGAAAAAAAAAGTGCTCGTTCCTCTCATGTCATATATTATACTGGCAACTCCTTTTATTTTCTGTAACCTTGACGACATGTTATTTTCTGCTTACCTGTTACCCTAAACACTACAAAGATAAAGGTCGACAAAAAAACAGCTAATCTTATTTCTGCAGTGCCGCAAAACAGCCAGATCAGCCCATGTGAGATCCTTCCCTTGGAAGCATAGGTCCCAGATCATACCAACCAATCTAGCAGGCATTCCTCCCGCTGCTGTCAATATCTGTTTGGCTCATGATGGGCATGCTAACGTTACCACCATCTTAAAATATGTTATTTGCCTGTGTTTTAAACCTAAGTACCCAGCGGCTACCAAGAATTAATCCTAGTTTAGCATGATATATAAATCTCTCTTCTTTGACAATGTTAATATCGGCATATACATGATGTCTCAATCACGCTTATTGCCTTACCATTACCTGACATAACTTTTATTAACCTGTTTGCTACTTTGCAGTTCTCTTATATGCCACAGTATTATGCCTTTTTTATATATCTATATCTGCTGTTGTGGCAAAACAAGCATGTCTGTTAAACTTTTGCACAACAAAAGTAAAGAATATATAAAAAAAAAAAGTTTCTATAATTTTATAATATTAAACTTTTAATGAATTTAATGAATCTAATATGAAAAACTAAAAGCCAATAAAATAACCACACTTTTATTGAAAGTAACACCAAAATTGGACATAAAATAACTTGTATCTAATGTAATCTAGCCCTATGTCAAGTAATGAACTCAAACAGCAGCTCTAAGCTAGCATTATTCAAGTACAAAAATTCTATACAAATTATAACAAGCAATATAAACTCTGAATATAAAAGCAGTGCTTTAGAAGGAAAATACATGAAAACCATTAAGCTCACATAGGTTGGTATGCAATTAGAATACCAAGTACTGAGCGGGTTACTGAATGTATCCCTATACAAAAAGGGTGGCTCTGCACACGTGCAAGCAGTGCACTGTCCACAAGGTAAAGAAAAATAAACAATTATATTCTGCATATTAATGAATAACCACCAATATGTTCATTGCTGTACACGGCCATATAATGAATGAAAAGGGAAACAAATGTGTATATTAAATACACTCAAATATACAAAATGTTTTTGATCACAGTACACTCCAGCTACACTGATCATTTTTTTTAAGTTAGGATTGCATGGGAACACAAAACATATAATGTTTACTATTGTAATGCAATCACTCTGTTCATAGAACTCTAAATCAACAGTACTGTATACAAATTGAGATGGACTATGCTGGATATACAGGAAGCAGTGCTGTACACGGCTCTGGGTATTCTGTAAGCACGCAAACCTTTACATGTACTTGGTTGATCTATACAGCACTGGATTTACTACAGGCAAAACGACATGAACACTAATGTAATTCTATGTATAGTAGCCAACACAAAATGCATTGGGAATACTGTATTTCATATTTGGAAATCCCCATGTTGACACAGCACTGGTTATATCAAAAGCTTTAAAAAGCCTTTTTTAATTGGCGGCTCACATGCTGTGAATTGGGATTATGCAGGCATGTAACACTCACTATACACAGCACAGGACTCTTTGTAGACGTCCATGGACACAGCACTGTGTATATACAGCATGTGAATCTTTGTACTGGATTATCATGAGCACAGCACAGAGTATACAGCAATACTATAATAACCCTTAGTGCACAGCACTGGATATACTCCTCCCCCCTCCCCATCCCCACCTAAGTGCCCATGCTGTTTTGCTTGTCTCTCTTTCTCCTACTGGTTCCCCAGCCCTTGGAGGTCTCCGGTTGCCCCCCATCCAACCCCACCATGGCGCTTGGCCCTGAGGATGGCCCTCTCTTTCTTCTGTCCAGCGAGGCCATGATCCCAGACGAAGATGATGATGAGAGGAGGGTAGGGGCTCTCGTCCCCCTCCGCTCTCTATCTTCTTCACGGTCAGCATGGAGGGATGTTTGAGCGGGACACGGCCAGGGGAAGCGGTGAATCCTGTGTGTGTGAAAAGCAAGCTGTCAATTTTTGACAGATTTGCCGAAATTGATTTGCAAATTTCGGTGCATCCTTACTAACCACCTATCTAGATATTTCTGCAGGGCATGTACACCCCTTAATGGCACTGGTGTTCCTTGCTGGCAGTGGCCTCTTTCAGCAGGATAATGCTGCCACACTTAAGTTGTTCATTAATTGTTTGAGGAACATGAGGTGTTGCCATGACCTCCAAATTCCTCAGATCTCAATCTGATTGATCATCTGTGGAATGTGGTAGAACCTCAAAATCTGCAGGACTTAAAGCATACATGGTATCTGGTTTTATATTCATATATCTGTTATATGAGTGAAAAGATAACTCAACGTACAGACTGAAAAGAATATTAAGACACACACCAACAAAAAAGCACATATATCCACAGATATATATAAATAGAGCACATACACAAGTAGAAGTTGGCTTTTTCACATCCTCCCCCAACCTTCCACTGAAATTGTTCTGGACGAAGTTGGTCTTCACTCACTTCCCCCTTCTTTTTGCATCTGACAGCCCATGAGCTTTTCGACCTGGAATTTCACTCCCAGCTCTCCATTTCCAGTGCAGGTAGACATTCTGGACATATTGCAGCCTCTGTGCACATGACCTTGTTTGTCTACTCCATTTGTGAGATTTTTTTTGAATTTATTTTTTTATAGAAATTATACATAAACTTTGATTTCAGTTTTGTGCTGCTTGTTAATATTTATTTTTTCTTTGTTTTTTTATGTTTTTTTTCTCTAGGTGAAATGCTGTAAAGACCTCTTTCACTCTCTGAATGGGCAGCATTTTCTTGCCATGTGGACCTTTAGTTGAACGGTTTCTGTATTGCTTGCCTACATTAGCAGATCATATAAAGCCATGAAAGCAATGGTGATATGACTAAACTTGCTTTGATCTCCCAGTGTTAATAGCTGTACCTGGCATAGAGGTGTTTTTTTTTTTTTATTTTTTTTTTTTTAAATCCTCACAGGCCATGGACCACACAATGATGGATAGTCCTGTGACCTTGGTAATTAAAGCTCCAAATCAAAAATATGATGATCAGACAATTAATTGTTTCTTGGACTGGACGGTAGAGAAATTGAAATCTCACCTCTCTAAAGTATATCCCAGCAAACCGGTAAGTACAGTAAAAAGAATAGCTAATTATAGAAATAATGTTCAACTCAGTGGCTGCAATCCTTAATCATTTCTGATTTTTACATATATTTTATACATGTGATGGGCTACAACAAATAAATATATAGACAACAGATATGACAACCCAAAGCAGGCAAAATTAATGTGTTTCTGTGGCACTGTTGGGGAAACTTGCATTACCTGCTTTTTTTTTTTTACTGCAGATTGAGAAAGTCTGACTAAGCTCAGTTTATCTAGTTTTTAACGTTTAGTCTGCTGACCCTTTTTTTTAATGCCTATGTCAGGTGATTTATGTAAATGTATATGCTGGACATGTCACACTTGAACATTCATGCATTGACTTTATCAATATATCCAAATAATTTTTTTATTTTTTATTTTTTTTAGATGACAAAGGATCAAAGGCTTGTATACTCTGGTAAACTTCTTCTTGATCACTTGCGTTTGAAAGATGTTCTCAGGAAAGTAAGTTTTTTAAAATGTATTTGTTTGCATGAAACATTGTTTTTCTTCACTGGCCTGTATTAAGTTCTAAGCAGTCGTTTTGACTCTCAACCAGATGTAGCTTGCAATATAGTTGCACCATATAAGAACGCATACACCAACAATTATTAACCACAAATATAGTATGTGTCAACAGTAGCTGGGGTGCACATCTGGTTACATCCTCTTCTTGTGTGAATTTACACCTTATTGATGTTCAATTCCGACCAAGCAGCAATTTCATAACAATCCTTTATTATTCTGGACTATACATCCTTTGCCCACTGCAGCAGCAGTTTTATTTTTTTCCAGAAATACATGGTGTAATGACTTTATAAGCACAAACATTTTACTTATATATACTTTTGGTTAAACATTCTGTGTACAGTACGGCAGTTGAAGACAAATCCAATATATATATATATATATATATATATTTTATTTAGCTGTGCAGGAAGATACAGAAATGCTTGCAGTGCCACAACAGCAAATGCAAGCTCAACTACAACATATATGTTGAATTACAAGCATGGCAATAAAATAGTCCGCACAATTTTTTGGGGATAATAGGTAGGAAAACCGTCTTTGCCTAGCTGATTGCAAACAATAGATGTTGCCAGTCTAATATACATTATACATTCGTAGGCATGGAGATTAATTGGCCCCCGTTTGCATGTTAATGGTATCTTAGTGGGGTCAACTGCTACGGAGTAAGCTGGTGATAATACAGGAGGAGACATTTGTCAGTACCTGTGTGACAGGGGGCTAGTGTGAAGAGGTTGTCAAGCGTTATATGTTGAGAAGAGACAAAGCAGGAAACATATATAACAGAAACTGCATATGAAATTCGCCGTCCAGCTACTTAGGTATCGTCGTCCGCCCATCAGGCCCAGCCAAGCTTACATGCATGTCTAAGTGGAAATGTAATATCTCCCAGGGGGACCCCAGTTAACTAGGTGCTAGTGTCACACAAAAAAATGAAAAAAATATACATAAACATGAATATAGACCGTTATTTGCATTCCCCACAACTTGCAGTGTTTACGGGTTTCATGGGGTACTAACTGTGCCCTTGGTAGCTTTGTTTCAGTCCCAACCCGAGCCTAGCCAATACCCCTCTGGGGTAACACCAAATGCAGTTGCGTGAGTCCCAGTGTCGGGCCCATCCGCCCACTGTAGTGGAGACCTGCGTTGGGATTCCCAAAAGATGATGCGTCCATCGGTGTCTCTTGGGTTCTTCCTGGCTTTGTCAGGGTCCGATACAATGAGGGATGTCGACCTCTCAGCGGTTGCACACCCGGTCTCGGCGTGAAGCATGGTCGAGGGAGGACCCGTTGTAGTTTTTGAAATGGCACAGCTGGTTCGATTGTGCGTTTTTGCATGCAGGCGGGATAGGCAGCCTTCGGCACCATCTCTGAGCTCCCTTCGGATGGGTATCTGCTCATCTGTGGCAGAGGCGTGCGGGCTTCTCTTTATGTGAGTTTGTGGTGAACAGAACCTCGCCACAGGCTTTTGGTGGAGCCTGCTTGCCAGCCTCCTGCTCCAGGACTATGGCCACCTGCAATAGACCTGGCTAAAATACTTTAAAAGGGCTTTGTTTGTGCAATTGGGATTATATGGTTCGGTTCCCGAACAGCCGCACGAACCAGAGACCACCCAGGAGCTTGTTAAACCCTATTAACACTTAGTAATGATTCTAATCGCAATGTTCTAATTGTCTGTTTGGGTGGCCGCTGTTCACATGAACGACCACGAGGTGGCAGCCATCTTGTTCGCATGAACGTAGGCAGCGGTGTTTGGTTGTCGAGTTCATGGAACTAAAATCGGACACAGAAACTCCCGAACACTGCTGGACTTCCATCATTGCCTGCGTTCGGTTCTATACAATTTAGAAGGGCACTGTTCGGTGGAATCGTTCATCTGGATGAGGAGAACAAGCTCCAGGGTAAGAACATATCTACCGAACTAGACCGACCGCAAGCCCTGATTCTCTGGAACTGTTTTGGGTATGGGATCATGCATGTGGTTGGTCAAATTATGACTTCCAGGAAATTCCTGAACTGATCTGGGTGATTTTTGGATATGTTGGTCACCCAGATCGGGGTTATCAGAGGATGTAACTTTTGTGGGGGTTTTGTGTGTTTAAAGGTATTTTGGGGTTTTTGTAAATATTACGTTTTCTGTACGTAGAGATAATTGAGTTTAATACAGTGGTTGACTCAATTATCTCCAAGGCACAGAGGAGAGATTATCTTGTTTTATGTGGGAGTGTCCTGGACCTGAGAGCCAATGTAATCGTGTGTATGTTTTTACTGTAGTCTACTCTCAGGTCCAGGGGGGAGTGCACCTTGCATAGGGACCTGCATATAAGACCAGTTGTGGCTACCAATAAAGGAATTCCTGCTTACCCTCAACATAGTCTCATCTCATGTGTGAGGGTGAACGGCTGTATTGCTCTGGGGATTGCTATATCACTATACTCCCCTGGGATTATAATCACTTGCTTTAAGAGCATATTGCTACACTCTCTTGGAGGAGGGGTCTACCCACTGGAAGCTGGATCCTGGTCTTGGGTCCAGGGTGGGTGGAGGACCGCAAAACCCCAACCTAGCTGTAATGCTGGAAGTGGGGGCTACAGTGCTGATGGTGTCTGGTGCGGTGCTTGTGGTACTGGTTAAAGCACTAGGAAGCAGCGATTGGCGGAGGCACCCAGTCAGGGTACCAGGCTGTCCGCCACAGAGTAAACATGTGCTATAGTCTGCTGTTCTCTGCCTACCAGTTTTGCCTAGAAGGCATCAAATATGGCATTAAGCCTGGTCTCAGGGTCTCAGACCTCTCTTCGCAGTGGTTGGAGTCGCACGTGGCATCCGCCATTGTGCAGGCCTCTGCTTGTGGAAGCTGCTCATGTGGCTTCGCTGCCTGTGACCTTTGTAGCCGGGCTGCCTCGAGAGTGGACCGGGATCACCCCCACCGGTACTAAGACGGGGCGGAGCAGGCAATCTGTGGCTCTGTGCCCCCGGCGTAGGGACGTCGAGAGCGGCCGCCTCTCCCCAGCTTCATCCACTGCAGGCCGCAGCGTGCCACCTCGGGTTCATGATCGCAGAAAACACTTGTATCTGGTATCAGGCGATTCACCAGGGTGCCCCCAAATTGGGTAGTCTACCCCGGCATAGTTTCAAGCTTTGTGTCGGTAAGTATTTCTATTCAATCAGCATGTGTAGTGGGAGCCCCTCCAACATGTGACTGCTCAACTTGCGGTTCAAGCTCCGCCCCCTGACAAACCCATTATATAATTTAAATGATGCCTACTACTATACCCCACTCAATTTGCTAAAATATTTTGCCTTGCCTATTCATATGTCATAGTTTTATTATTATAAAGGGACATTTTAAGTACCATAAGCAAAACAGCCCTTCCCTTCTCAACCCCATTGATAATATGGAATTTAAATTTCTGCACTATCAATAACAATTCCTTCCAGGCTGGATGACACTGATATGTCTGCAACTAACAATTGTTTTCATAATCAATTAATTGCTTAATTTATTTTTATCTGATAAAAAAAAAAAAAAATTCAATACCAGGCGCATCTCTCTTATGCTCCTCTTAAACTGGTGGTTCAAGTACTTTACCCTTTTGGAGTGGCTTTGAAGTTCCATTCCAGGGAATATGATGGGGAGACGCTCTAGCAAATCCCAACCTGCTGCAGGTGGGAACTCCCGAGATACTGGCCTCCTCCTGTCACAGCCTCTTAGGGCAAAAATTGTGTATCCAAATGTGAATCACAACAAGGATTCACATTACCTCAGAGGAGAGCTTGAATCAGCCAGATATACCGACTACCTTACAAAACAGCACAACACTAACCTAACCGCACAAAAGGGACATCTCAAATTTAATGGTGGACATTAAGAACTTTTTCACAACAGAACTGACTGTCCTGAAGGAAGATGTCCGCACTCTTACTGGTTGGAGAGGCCAAAGAGGAAGACATCCATGGAGTTTGCATTAAGCCAGAAGCTAACTAAAACTTGCTGTCTTCTTACTTCTAAGGTAGAAAAAAATCGAAGATGGAGTAAGGCAAAGTAACCTCAAACCCTAGGGGGGTTGGATAGGGAACGGAGAGATTAAAAGGTATTATGGGAGGGAACAATTAGGTAGAACGAACTATATACAGGTTAGCAATTAAAAAAAGTAGAAGGAGCAGGAAGTGAGAGTAGAAGAAAATAAAAGGAGAAAGGGTAGGAGGACCAGCAAAAAAAGCATCTCATACACCTGCACCTTGTGATTGACACAGATAGTGAGAGGTGATATGGCATCCCAAACATCCAACAATCACGGGCTTCCTATGTGGACCCAGGATCCGTCCCCATGCAGCTATGTAAGGAAATTGAATTTGTGTGTAGTGTTATGAGTGCTATATATAAGGTGTATCTATTCGCCTTTTTTTATTTTTTTTTATTTAAAGGTTAAGAGGGCAGGACCTGCTTGTTTAACTATCGGGAGAGAGACCAGGTTGTGTAATTGAAGGTATCTAAAGCCAAGCCAATCTCAGCGCTCCATCAGTGCAGTCCAAGGCACAGTGGGCACTCAGAGTCCTACGCAGTCGGCTGGACACCCACACCAAGAATCCGCAGACCTCTGTCTCCTGCGCCACTTCAGCTACTGCTGAATGTATGTCGCCTCATGTCTCACCCAACTCTGGCCACATGCTTGGTGCAGGCGCAGTCCACCTCCGCCACCGGTACACTGGAGTGTACACCAGTCCCACATGGCTCTCAGGGTCAGGGACAGGTCTCCCCTCAAACCCAGATAGTAAGGCCTCCACAGCTCCAGAGGTCAAGTGTCTTGTGGACCCCATGGCAGGACAGTACCCCTTGAGGGCTTCAATACAGCACGCCGCAGGTAAGTATCAGCATGCACTCTGGGCAAATGGGTGAATCTGTGTGCAGCACTCAAAGAGGGACAGGGAGGGAATCTCATCACGTGATGCTGACATCCCATGCGAATTCCCAGGTCACTTTCAAATCACCATGTTGAATGCTGGGATGGCCCCCCACCCACCGGGGGTGAGGGCAGAAACGAGCCCCCACATACACTCCTCCAGCCTAAGCAGCCCCTCGGAGCGATTCCGTTTGTCCGGTGCACCTAGCGTAGGTGTTCCCCCTTCCAAATATGTTGATTGTGATGGCATAGATATACTCAATAACTGTAGTCCTTTTCTGGGGCTCCAGCTCAGAGCCACAGACGATGGCCGCCGTTCTGGTCGGCAGGCCCGGCCCCACCATATTTGAAATCTGTTTTCTTTTCCTTCTTGCTTTCTTTTTTTTTTTCTCCTTTTTCCCCCCTTGTTCAGTAAGTTAGTAAGTGGGAGACCTCTCACAGGATAAGGATCAAGGCAGTAGGTAATATTAACTACAAACATTTGCACCCATATGTTTGTGAAATTCCAATGAACCACGGACATAATAAAGGATCACATACTTTTAGTTCTCACACACATCTGTGTTACAATAGCTAATTTTTGTAATGAACTGAATTACACTATCGTTTGTTAATTTTGTTATTACAGCAAGATGAGTATCACATGGTTCATCTAGTGTGTGCTTCCCGGACCCCTCCTAGCTCTCCTAAAATCTGCTCCAGTAGGGATAATGGAGCCACAAGCACCCACAGAAGAATCGAAAGTGAACACTTTTCTGTAAGTAATGCATTATGGGGCTTTTGCAATACTGGAATAAGTTATTTTAACTCAGAATGCTGATGGTTTGCATGGCAAGCCCTCACTTAAAAACGCATTAAATCAGAAATATTTTATGTGTTATTATTTTGGCATTCATATAGCGCTAACTTATTCCACAGTGCAAACAATTGTTTAACAATAAATAAGACAATTACAAAATGTTACAGCAACAATAGGTTGATGAGGACCCTGCTCAAGCAAGCATCCAATGTTAAACCTCATCTAAAAGAAGAGACGGGGGCTTTTTACCAGCGTTGCTGTTTGCTAATCTATTGGAGTGCATAACTCTGCAACAAACGCTATACCCTCAAAATAAAATAAATGCACTGGGAACTTTTAATTATTTATTTTTCCCAGCCGTGAAGGGGTAACAGAGTTTACTACTACTACTTGGTAAATTACGAAAAAATTTCATGCGCATTTAATTAATTCACCACTGTAGTTTTGTGATTGCTTTTCTGCAGTACCAGATTTTTTTTTATTACTTATTTTATGTTTGATATTATGCTTTATATATCCCTTTTCTGCTCCTTAAATAACCCTATCTATAAATCTTTCAATGTGACTGTTTTCCACTTACTTTGATGTTCCAGCTGGTCCAAGAAAATCCCTTTTCTGTTCTCTAGTACTGTGTTGATGTTGTTGTTATTATTAGTTATAAATTGCCAGCGTTTCTTGGAGAGCAAAATCTATTGAATATCCAAATAAGTTTTTAAATGGAAAAATATTTTGAGAGATCTGTTTATTGCATCAGCTGTTAGGACTTTTTTTTTCTTTCTAGTTTTTGTTGATATTCTTAATTAATGAAACCTCATTTGTGTATTCCAGAGATCAGAACAATCAGGACCAGCCTCCACTGTGTCACCAGCTCAAGACATGCCATCAACATCCTCTATCTCAAGGCCTGAAGAAAACCTAAGAAATCGACATGCTTCTCAAATGTACACTAACCCTATACATAACCAACCTTTTTCTTATTTTAGACAACAGTAAGTTGAACTACAGGAGTAAAACTAATGCTTATGTCTGGTATCTATATCTAGCCATATACCTTCAATATCCAGCCTTTTCTCTATTGAGTATATATGCAGACACGCATACGTTTTCCAGATTTCTGTTGCATTTAGAGCCATTGATCGTTGTTTTGTTTTGTGTTTTTCTGTTTTTTTTCCTGACCATACTACTTTTCAATGGGAGCTCAAATCGCAACAATACCCTTTATTTCCTTTCACTAGCACATTATGACATCACTTGAAAAAAGTCCCTGTAGGGGACCTGCTGGTGTGACAGGGAAGATGTAATACAGTTAACTTCAACCTATATCTGCAAAACAATATGCTGTGTATAATTTTATGCAATACCTGCCCAGCTCTCAATTTAAATGTCTGCAGAATTACAGATTTCTCCAGGATCCTCAATTTCCACATTGACTTTGTTCACCAGCTTGCCAGCTCTGCAATGATATCACTAATATAACACCCCTGGTTTCTTTCTTTTCCGAAGTTATGGCCCTTCTTTGGAACACTCACAAAGCAGGGCAATACTCCCTCATAACTCCAACATGCTTCATGTCTTTATTGCCAGTGCCAAGAGTTCAGGTGAACAAAGACCTTTACAGCCTCTCTGTTTTCTATTCTACCCTGGCCTGCTCAATATTGTATTCCAAATACACATGCATCTGTATTGCAATGTGAATGAAACTTTCAAACATCACTTTTGGCAACAAGCTGTCTTTACATTTGGTTTTGTTTGTTGCTTCTTTCAGTATGTGGATGACCAGCTGTATAGAACTTTGTAATAAGTGATGGCTAATGTAATTAAAAATCGAATTGACAGCTAGTTTGTTAAATTTAGCTGAATAGCACACATCAGCTTAGAAGATAACCTGATGTCTTATTTTTTTCTGTGTGTGTTTTTAGCCCTGTAGGTAATCCAGTTCCTGGGCAAGGAGGCCCTGCTGTGTTTCCAGTCTATTCAGCCATCAGCCCTTTACAAGTGATGTGGTGGCAGCAGATGTACGCCCGACAGTACTACATGCAGTAGTAAGTATGAATTGTTTTATTAGCATAAACGCTTATATTGATTTTTCTTTTACATGTATAATGACATACTGTGAACTGTTGCAACTCAGAACACTCCAACAAGCTTATGAAGTTTGTATTATTTAGGTAAGCATACTATGGAGTAGCACTTAAAAGAACAGATAATTAACTATAGAAAGAGGTCAGTCTTCAAATGCAAGTAGTCTACACAAATTGTGAAGACAGGGCTTACAGAAAGCTATGAAATATTAAGTCCCTTTCAGGACAGCTCTAAAGTTTAGATTTCCATTGTTTTGTCATTGCAGTTATGTTTTTTTAACTAATTAATTAAATATTTAATTTGACTAAAGCACCGATGTATTTGTTTTAGCCAAGCTGCAGCCAGTCATCAGACTACACAAGAAACTCAGAGTGAACGTCCAGCCAGCCCACCTGCCATTAATTCTGACAGACCTCCTCCAAACCCTCCTAGAGCTGTTCCGAATGTTGCACCTGAAGTAAACCCAAATGTACAAATGAATGCTCAGGGTGGGCCAGTGATGAATGAAGAAGACATTAACCGTGATTGGCTTGACTGGCTTTACACAGTGTCTCGAGCAGCCATCCTTCTCAGCATAGTGTATTTCTACTCTTCCTTCAGCCGCTTCGTAATGGTCATGGGTGCTATGATACTTGTGTATATGTAAGTACTGCTTATGATGTGTGGAAATAGTACTATTACTCATGTTCACAATGGCACATCACATGTGAGAATGCTTGGAATGACTGTAAAATAAAAGTATATTTATATATTCTATGCGACATGGACCTTTTTCTAATGCACCATTGTATTATACAGTGAAACAAAGAAACATAGACTGTGACAGCAGTTAAGAACCATTTGGCCCATCTAGTCTGCCCAATTTTCAAAATACTTTCATTAGTCCATGGCCTTATCTTATAGTTAGGATAGCCTTATGCCTATCCCACGCATGCTTAAACTCCTTTACTGTGTTAACCTCTTCCACTTCAGCTGGAAGCTATTCCATGCATCCACTACCCTCTCAGTAAAGTAATAGTTCCTGATATTATTTTTAAATCTTTGCTCTTCTAATTTAAGACTTTGTCCTCTTGTTGTGGTAGTTTTTCTTCTTTTACATATAGTCTCCTCCTTTACTGTGTTGATTCCCTTTATGTATTTAAATGTTTCTATCATATCCCCCCTGTCTCGTCTTTCCACCAAGCTATACATGTTAAGTTCCTTTAACCTTTGTAAGTTTCATCCTGCAATCCATGAACCAGTTTAGTTGCACTTCTCTGAACACCATCGAAGGTATCAATATCCTTCTGGAGATACGGTCTCCAGTACTGCGTACAATACTCCAAGTGAGGTCTCACCAGTGTTCTGTACAATGGCATGAACACTTCCCTCTTTCTACTGCGAATACCTCTCCCTATACCACCAAGCATTCTGCTAGCATATCCTGCTGCTCTATTACATTGTCTGCCTACCTTGAAATCATCAGAAATAATCACCCCTAAATCCCTTTCCTCAGATGTTGAGGTTAGGACTCTATCAAATATTCTGTACTCTGCCCTTGGGTTTTTACGTCCAAGATGCATTATCTTGCACTTATCCACATTAAATGTCAGTTGCCACAACTCTGACCATTTTTCTAGTTTACCTAAATCATTTGCCATTTGGCTTATCCCTCCTGGAACATCAACCCTGTTACATATCTTAGTATCATCAGCAAAAAGACATACATTACCATCAAGACCTTCTGCAATATCACTAATAAAAATATTAAAGAGAATGGATCCAAGTACAGATCCCTGACGTACCCTACTGGTGACAAGCCCATGCTTCGAATATACTCCATTGACTACAACCCTCTGTTGCCTGTCACTCAGCCACTGGCTTACCCATTCAACAATATTGGAATCCAAACTTAAAGATTGCAATTTATTGATAAGCCTTCTATGTGCAACAGTATCAAAAGCTTTACTGAAATCTAGGTAAGCAATGTCTACTGGACCACCCTGATCTATAATTTTAGTTACCCAATCAAAACAATCAATAAGATTAGTTTGGCATGATCTCCCTGAAGTAAACCCATGTTGTCTCTGATCTTGAAATCCATGTGTTTTTACATGTTCAACAATCCTATCCTTTAACATGGTTTCCATTACTTTCCCCACTACTGAAGTAAGGCTTACTGGCCTATAGTTGCCCGACTCCTCCCTACTACCTTTCTTGTGAATGGGCACAACATTCGCTAACTTCCAATCTTCTGGGACTACTCCTGTTAACAATGATTGGTTAAATAAATCTGTGAAGGCGGAGCCTAGCACCGGACCGGAGCGGTCGCACATTGCCGGAGCTCCGAGCTACCGCACGGCAATCCAGCCACATCGGGGGCATCCCGCACTAATCCCGGCCACATAATCAGCCACAGCCCGCAGGGACCCTCGCTGAAACCGCCGATGCCGTTTCTCCTGACGCCCGGCTCGAAAAATAGACGCCGAGGCGGCAAGGCCTACCGGGCAGGGAGGCAACCTCAACCCAGCACGGGAGAACACTGGCCCTGGAGTGTCCCAGAATTTGAGGACTGGTACCCCAGCACACACAGCTCAGGTGAGATGGGGCGCAGAACACAGAAACTGCCCCAAAACGCCCCAAAACCGCAGCGCGACATAGGCCAAATGTTACAGGCCCCAAGCGCAGTAAAGGCACAGACCCCCCGTGAAACCTCCCCAGCACCATCAGAGGAGGAAGAATCACTAGACAGCCCACACCTCAATCCCCAACACCCCACACACACGTGGATGCCAGAAGCCAGCGCACCGGCCTCCAAACAAGACATACAGGCTATGCTGACAGGCCTGCAGCAGAACTTAAGACAAATGTGGGAAGCGGACCTGGCAGTGCTTAAACTAGACGTGCACGCCGTGTCCACGCGCACTCAAGCGGTAGAAGAGGAGGTAAAGGGACTAAGAGGGAACTACCAGGAATTGGGAGAGACGGTGCGACACCTTCAAGCTGCACAAGCAACAATGTCCAGGCAAGTTACTCTCCTAGATGATAGGGGGCGCCGAAAGAACATAAAAATCCGAGGGGTACCTGAATCGATACCGCTGGAAGAGTTGCCACATTTCATCAGACGCCTTGTGGCCACACTCCTGCCAACTAGACAATCTAAAACGTTCCAGTTCGACGGGGTTTACAGGATAGCCAAATCCCCACAAGCACCCAACTCAGCCCCAAGGGACATAATCTTGAGATGCCAATCAATGTTGGACAAACTGGGGCTAATGGCGGCTATGCAAGGGAAAACACCTCTTGACTTTGAAGACAGCAAACTCTCCTTCTTTCAGGACTTGAGCAGGGCCACACTGATGTGGCGCAAAAGTATGCAACCTATCACCAAACAACTCCAAGCCGCAGGAATAGCCTATAGATGGGCAACACCAGGAACTCTCTGGGTCACTAAAGATGACAAGCACTACAGAGCTACCGACCACGCAGAGGGCCCGGCACTGATGACCGCATTGGGAATATCGAACCTCGCAGCGACCTCTATGACACAGCCGGCTCAACGACCAGGGACAACGAGCACAGAGTCATCCGCAACTCCTGGAATAAGCAGAGGACCGAAAACCAAAACCTGAACGACCTGCCTCACCGACGGCCTCATAGGCCTTAGTTTCACTAGTTTCAATATTTTAAGTTGATAAATCGGTTCATTTAAGTTAAATGTAGTTCTCTCACATTCTGACGGCTATAACAGTGCTAAAGTGGCCCACCAGAGCCGCGCACACTAGCTCCGATAACAATCCCCCCCCCCTCCCTTGGGTTAATGGGAAACGACATCAAAGGCGACATAGTAATCCTGACTGGAATCAGGCTCATCGCGAGGTCTGATGCCCCAAGGGCACAACTTAATCCGGTCACACTACAGCGACCTATGTATATACATAGACACGATTTGTAGTTACCACTAGGGCCACAAAGACACCCTGAACACCACACACATGGGCACCCACCAATAGCTGCGACCAGGGAAAAGCAAAAGAGGAGCGGACATAGTCCTAGACAGGCACCATTAGAGGGACCCCATAACTACCGCAATCCGCATCCTTACCCAAACTCAAAAGGGCCAAGAGACTTACCCAACATACATAACTATAGCCGCACGACCTAGAATTGGGACCAGCCACTGGACCTAGCAGTAAATGCCTTCCCCCCCCCACCTACGACTCCACAGACCTTAGGCTGTCTTAGGCAGACAGAAGTCTTCCACCCCTACAGTTATTAGATTTTAAAACCTCACTGTAACAATGTGACCTATTGTAAATATAAAATGTGTGTGAATAGCACACAACAACGCCTTGTATTTGATATGTACTGATTCTAATCGATGTGTCGAGGCTGTTGTGGCCAACTTCCTGAATATGTTATCTTTCCACATGAAAAATAAAGATTTAAAAAAAAAATAAAATAAATCTGTGAATGGTTTTGCTAGTACACCACTAAGCTCTTTTAATAACTTTGGGTCTATTCCATCAGGTCCCATTGACTTATTTGTTTTTACTTTTGACAGTTGAAATAGAACCTCTTCCTCTATAAACTCACATGTAACAAATGACTTATTTGTCCATTTTCCTAACTGAGGCCCCTTTCCTTCATTTTCATCTGTAAATACTGAACAAAAATATTCATTGAGGCAGTCAGCTAGACCTTTATCCTCTTCTACATACCTTCCTTCTTTTGTTTTGAATCTAACTAACCCTAGTTTTACTTTCCTTTTCTCATTTATATATCTAAAAAATGTTTTGTCGCCTTCATCCCCCCCCTTTTTTTTTTACTGACTGTGCTATTTTCTTTTCTATGTGTGATTTTGAAGCTCTTATAACTTGCTTAGCCTCTTTCTTCCTAATCTTATAGCTCATTCTGTCTTCCTCACTCTGTTTTTTTTTTTTTATAATTGCTAAATGCTAACTTTTAGTTTTTTACTATTTTGGCCACATCTGCAGAGTACCACAGTGGTTTCTTGAATTATTTGCTTTTACTGAGAAGCCTAATGCAATTTTCTGTTGCCTTCAGCAGTGCAACTTTTAAATAATCCAATTTCTCTTGGACTTCATTTAAATTGCTCCAGTCTGTTAATGACTCCTCTACCCATATTCTATTTTTAGAAAATTCAGTTTTTCTAAAGTCTAAACCTTTTGTTTTTGTGTGGTGTGACAAAGTCACTGTTCTTATATTAAACCACACTGACTGATGATCACTGGATCCTAAACTTTCACCTACAGTAATATCTTATACCAAATATCCATTTGTTAACACTAAATCTAGTATGGCCTCTTTACAAGTTGGCTCCTCAACGACTTGTTTTAGAGACAATCCCAGTAGGGTGTTTAGAATATGTGTGCTCCTTGCACAAGCAGCTATTTTCGGTTTTCCAGTTCACATCAGGAAGATTAAAGTCACCCGTGAAGCTAACTTCCCCTTTCATTGTCATTTTAGCTAACTTCTACTTGTCCTGAGGGCCTATAAATCACACCTACACGAGTTGCTGTGTGATTACCAAATTCTAACGTAACCCAAATGGACTCTATGTTCGCCTCACTAGCTTTTATTAGGCTAGATTTTATGCTATCCTTTACATACAGGGCCACCTCTCCTCCTTTCTTGCATTTCTTTTTTTTTTGTTAATCAGTTTCCTTTCTTGCATTTCTCTGTCTTTTCTATATAAAAAGTACCCTTGTATTGCTATGTCCCAGTAATTTTTCTCATTATACCATGTCTAAGTAATAGCGACTAAATCTACATCATCAGTAGCCATTATTGCCACAGGTTCATGGATCTTATTCTTTAAATTGCGATCATTTGTAGACATGACTCTAAGCGTATAATTTTTTTAGGCACCTTCTGTCCTTGTTTTGGGGGGCAATTGGATTTTATCACACGTTTACCCCCCCCCCCCTTTCCAAGTTTAAATAAATCCTAGCAAAACCTCTGAACTGCTCACTGAGAACAATTGTTCCCTTTTGAGAAAGATGCAAACCATGTTTTTTGTACAGTTTATTTCCATTCCAAACAGAGCTACCATTAGAAATTAAGACAAATCCGCGCTCCCAACACCATTCACCAAGTCACAAGTTAAAGTCCCTAATACGTATCTTCCTGTCGTTCTGAGTGTTATGCACAGGCAGAACTTAAGGGAATGACAGTGTGGAAGCAACCTGCCGTATATCATTGGCAAATACACTAAAAACTTCCTTTACCTCTGAAACCTCATTGCAAGCCAAGTCATTTGTCCCTAGATGGACAAGTACATCCAATTCCCCTTCCTGCTTTGCTCGCTTAACAATATTACAATTACGTCTCCTGTCTCTGTGAGCAGTAGCTCCGGGAAGATATCTCACAAGACCACTAGTGTCCAGCTCCACACCTCTTATAATGGAATCCCCCAACAACAACTGCTTTCTATTAGGCCTCATCATAGTATCCAAAACAACACTACTCTCAGTGCTGGACAATGGGCATGCACGTAGAATATTCAAGCCAAAGCACTCGCTGATTGAGACAGTGATGGAAATAGAAAAAAAAAATCTTTATATATCTCTTAAGTGACTCTTTGTGTGATTTTGCAAGGTTAGTGAGTAAGCAGGGCGAATCACTGTGGTTTGCGTGTTTAAAAGTGTAAAATCTACACATTACAAGTCAAATAAAATACATGGACTTCACATTCTATTGTCCGTATGCAATTAAAATACACATTTAATGGACTCTGACAGCCCCACACATGAAAGAACAAGTGAATTGCTCAAAATTAAATGTGCCCTTTCAGAAAATAATTTGTATCAATGTTCATCTGAATTATCAAATTTAGAAAAAATATACAGTTTAGATCCCAGCAAAAAGAGAACCATTTCAGTTTGCTATTTATATTTAATAGAAAATAACAGCCAAAAATGTGATTAAATGTTTGCTTGGGAAAAAGATTTAAAAAAAGAATTGGATATTACAGACTGTAATTTAAATGAACTAATTTGGATAAGTGATGGAGGGGGTGTGGAAAAGTGGACTCATTGTGTCACATACTGTGAATGTGTCCCAACGTGGGCTCACATTGGAAATCAGTCAACAAATTAATATGTACAATCACAGATTCAATCCCCCAGTTAACCCCCGAAATATGTCTATTTAACAGAATTCCAAATCACCTTCCAAAACACCAAAAAACAATGCTAGGTCATATTTTAATTGCAGCAACTACAACTATAACCAGATATTGGAAAACTAGTGTTTTGCCAGATGTTAAAGAGATTTTATACTCTATTCTAGATAATAAACATCACAAACATTACATTCTATGTATATATATTTAAAAAATTTAATAAAAATTTTGAAACAAATAAAATACATGAAATACATCAAATGAAAAATATGCTTTACCACCTATTTCCAAAAGGGGTTTAAATAGTTCATCCCACTCACATCTACACACGTTTACATTTGGGGGCATAATTACTGCCCCTGCAGCCTTGCAAATGAAACCAATGCAGTTTAAGTTTTACAGTTTACATGCATACTAGTTGTTGTCAGACATTCAGTCACTAGGAGCCTCAAACTAGATTCAAGATTCAATCTATTTAACAACAAAGTATGATAATGACCGACTCTGTGCTTGTCTGATGCTTATTTACGAGAAGAACTGGATTCAGTGCTTCTCTATGAGAAGCATTAGATTGGGGGTTCACGGTGATTGCTGCTTGTGTACGCTTTCCTCCGTGCTTCTTTATAAAGAGCATCTGATTGGATAAAACTCATAGGGATAAATGACTTAATCAGTGAAGCGGTGATTAGATTGTCCTGGAATAAAGATGAGATTGATGAGTTTGTTTTTTATTATTGTTATTGTTATTATAAGTAACATATCTATTTCCTTTAAATATTTAGGAGGCATTACAGAAACCCTAAAGTTCACTTTATATAACCTTATTAACTCCTTATTATCTGCTTCATTAAAAAGATTTACTTATATTTTCCATTAATAATAGGCATCAGGCTGGATGGTTTCCATTTCGACAAGAAGGTCAACAGCCAGCAAGAGTCAATGTTGTAGATGTGGATCGAGAGAGAGCAGACAATGATTTTCAGGACATGGTAAATACTCACAGCCATTTATTTTTAACATATTCTCTATTTTTCTTCCTCTTAAGTAACATTGTTTACCCTTTTATTAATGTCAAAGCATCACTTGATGGTTTCATTTAACCAGTGAGAACCAATATTTGTCCATACTGAAGGACAACTGGAGGACATCAAGCATTCTGCTTATCAACAGAAGATGTTTGCAGGATTGCTGATTTAAAATTGGCTGCTCAGTGCTGGCAGAGGGTCTTTAACGCGGATTGCAATGTCCTTGTAAAATGTTAATTGTTATTCAAGTTTCAAAATCACTAGAACCCACTGTGGTGGTTATGATGCCAGAAGTACGGTGGCACCATTCCATGGCAAGGGGGCAAACCTGGGTCCCACCGGATGGCGAATATGCTGAATTGCTGGCTGAACTGACATCTAACTTCTGCAGGAGGTTATGATGCTTATCCTGCCATTTATTTGTTGGCTGAGTGTTGAGTGCAAAAAATATGGAGAATCTGTACTATGTGAGGATTTATTTTCTCGTTTTGAATATATAGATAGATTTGAATTTTTGGTAGTTGGTTGTGAAACTATCCTCCAAGGTTTGAATATCTTGGCCTATTATAAACATTCTTGAATTTATTATATATATTTTCTGGAGTTGGTTAATAAAGATTGATTTGTACCTTTCTTAAAAAAATAAAATCTCTAGATCTGTCTGAATGTGCAGTTAAAATTCCGCTAGTCCTCCTGGTGTCTTTCTACGCTTGTTGTTGATGACTCATACCTGGGTTATAGCACCTTCTACTGACAATTTTAGGAAATAACTGTTTGACAGTTGATTTATAATATATTTAAAAAAAAAAAAAAAGAAGAGATTTCAACTCGCATTATATACATGCTAGCATGGAGGCTCTGTTTTCTTTATTACCAGCCAATTAAGATCCACTGAATATATAGCATGGAGATCCATTTTTTGTTTCTTGAGACAGATTTTCAGAGCTATGGATATTTATTGCTGCAGGACAAAGTTCAAATGATTTATTCGTAATAAAAAATAATGATAAGAAGTAGCAATATGTTTTGGGTGTAGGAAACATTATATCGAAGGTAGATTACAGGAACAACCTACAAAAAAAAATGGCAAAATAATAAACACCGGCACTTAATTTTTTTATTTAAATTGTCTGGATATAGAAATATAAATGTCAGCTTTTAGAATTTACTATATGGCTTAATAATTTGAACCATTTATTTAAGATAATAAATACAATGAAATAATGACCTGTATGTTGATTTTTTTTTTCCCCTTTTTTTCTCCATTCTTTATTTTTCATTCAGATTACAATATTCTCACATAGATTACTTGACAGAGAAAATTGTGTTACATTGCTATGTTGTATACAGGGAGTGCAGAATTATTAGGCAAGTTGTATTTTTGAGGATTAATTTTATTATTGAACAACAACCATGTTCTCAGTGAACCCAAAAAACTCATTAATATCAAAGCTGAATATTTTTGGAAGTAGTTTTTAGTTTGTTTTTAGTTATAGCTATGTTAGGGGGATATCTGTGTGTGCAGGTGACTATTACTGTGCATAATTATTAGGCAACTTAACAAAAACAAATATATACCCATTTCAATTATTTATTATTACCAGTGAAACCAATATAACATCTCAACATTCACAAATATACATTTCTGACATTCAAAAACAAAACAAAAACAAATCAGTGACCAATATAGCCACCTTTCTTTGCAAGGACACTCAAAAGCCTGCCATCCATGGATTCTGTCAGTGTTTTGATCTGTTCACCATCAACATTGCGTGCAGCAGCAACCACAGCCTCCCAGACACTGTTCAGAGAGGTGTACTGTTTTCCCTCCTTGTAAATCTCACATTTGATGATGGACCACAGGTTCTCAATGGGGTTCAGATCAGGTGAACAAGGAGGCCATGTCATTAGATTTTCTTCTTTTATACCCTTTCTTGCCAGCCACGCTGTGGAGTACTTGGACGCGTGTGATGGAGCATTGTCCTGCATGAAAATCATGTTTTTCTTGAAGGATGCAGACTACTTCCTGTACCACTGCTTGAAGAAGGTGTCTTCCAGGAACTGGCAGTAGGACTGGGAGTTGAGCTTGACTCCATCCTCAACCCGAAAAGGCCCCACAAGCTCATCTTTGATGATACCAGCCCAAACCAGTACTCCACCTCCACCTTGCTGGCGTCTGAGTCGGACTGGAGCTCTCTGCCCTTTACCAATCCAGCCACGGGCCCATCCATCTGGCCCATCAAGACTCACTCTCATTTCATCAGTCCATAAAACCTTAGAAAAATCAGTCTTGAGATATTTCTTGGCCCAGTCTTGACGTTTCAGCTTGTGTGTCTTGTTCAGTGGTGGTCGTCTTTCAGCCTTTCTTACCTTGGCCATGTCTCTGAGTATTGCACACCTTGTGCTTTTGGGCACTCCAGTGATGTTGCAGCTCTGAAATATGGCCAAACTGGTGGCAAGTGGCATCGTGGCAGCTGCACGCTTGACTTTTCTCAGTTCATGGGCAGTTATTTTGCGCCTTGGTTTTTCCACACGCTTCTTGCGACCCTGTTGACTATTTTGAATGAAACGCTTGATTGTTCGATGATCACGCTTCAGAAGCTTTGCAATTTTAAGAGTGCTGCATCCCTCTGCAAGATATCTCACTATTTTTGACTTTTCTGAGCCTGTCAAGTCCTTCTTTGACCCATTTTGCCAAAGGAAAGGAAGTTGCCTAATAATTATGCACACCTGATATAGGGTGTTGATGTCATTAGACCACACCCCTTCTCATTACAGAGATGCACATCACCTAATATGCTTAATTGGTAGTAGGCTTTCGAGCCTATACAGCTTGGAGTAAGACAACATGCATAAAGAGGATGATGTGGTCAAAATACTCATTTGCCTAATAATTCTGCACTCCCTGTAATATGTTGTAAAGCAGAGAGTAATGTACAGACAATATATATGCAAGTAGAGTTACGGCATTTAAATATAATAATAATTTTGGGCATTCATGACCAAATGGTTACCGAACATTCAAGAAACCTAGTAGTAGTAATTATAAACGCCTCTCTCCACTTTGTGGTAAACTGGTTAATATAAAGACTAAAATGCCAAGTATTAGTTAGCTGTGATACTCTCTCTCAGGTCTTGAGGATTTTATTCTTTTTGGAAATAACCCAAAAAAGGAGTTTTGGGAATGAAGAAAGAGGAGGAGATAGAGAAAGTAGTGAGGGATCAGGGGGTCTCTGGTCAGCAGTGTCAGGGGCCATTCTTATAGTCTTCCCATGGCTAAAGAGATTAATTTTAAGAGCAAAAGCTGTGACCTGATCATTTTTCCTGACTGAAAGGAGCATAATCAGATGTTGACAGCCGCTGCTCCCGTACTAGTTAGTTATAAGATGGCTTTAAATGTAAAGCAGCACAGCTGTATTTTTATTTGAATTGTTTGTTGTTGCTGATACTGCACAATACAAAGAATGATTCTGCAACTCTACTGAAAACCCACCAATAGATCACAATATATGCCCTTAAAAAGCACCAACATATTATGTCACAAAGAATGTAGTTCTAAACAGGAAAAATTAATTATTCCATGAACCATAAAGGCAGCACTCACCCTGTGCACCTCAGGTAAGTGGAGCTGTCCTCTTCAAACCTCTGTAACAACTTACTTTCTTCCTTCTACATTTGACAAAGGCGTATGTAAACGCTGAAACGCACGTCGAACGTTTTGCCGATGCATTTACTTTAACTAAGCATTTATTTTCTACTTTTTACCTGGGTTTGACGGATGTCCGCTTTCATTACTTATCTATTTATTTATTTTTTCCAAGTATGTGCTTACATAAGCTTATAGGGATTTGCTAGGCTGCCTTGAAGCAGCAGTTTAGTATCTATGGCCTGCCTGTGGGCTAGATAGTAAGCCAAGGGTTTTCTAGGATATTGTCTCCTTTCCTCTAAAGTTACTAATTTCGGAGGGGGCTTTTTTTGATTTAAGGTACTGCTGTCATATCGCTGTGGATTTTATGTATTTTTTAATCTCATCCAAGGGGATATATCACTATTGGATTTCCCCTATAGTTTATATTGCCAAATGAGACATATAGCCTCCCAGAGAGTCTGTACAGCAGGGTCGGCTACATAGCTCTATACCTGTTTGTGCTTCTTCATGAATTTATTTTCCACCAGTAAGCTATCTTGGTATACTCTATTGAGACACTATTTATAATGACCACAGTTTAACTCCAGTACCATATCGGCATTTCTACTATCGCTAGGTACCACGATCCCAGCTATATATATCACTTACGGATTTTACAGTTTTTGCGCGACTTGGTTTATTTAATTTTCATCTTTTGTACGGAGCAGTCTGTACTTATGTTCCGTTTCTCTTATATATTGGTCCACATATCGGATGTCCCTATAGTCTTACTTGGTCCTCTTTAGAGGCCTTACTACTATTTATTTTAGTGGACTCTATACGTATGTGCACATACAATATATATATCATTTTCTATGAGATTAAGGAACATATCCCCAGGTTTTTAATTCCTCACCTTTATGTGATTTTCACTAACACAACTTTCTATGGTGTTTCTATCCAGGGTAAGCTTTATACCTATTATATATATTTTCTTTGCTTAATTTTAGTTCAATAAAGGTTATTACCATTTTCTTTGTTACGTTTACTTTAGGAGGTAATCTTCTAGAGTGAGATTGAATCACATTCACTTTTGAGTGAGTTTTTTTTTTCTATCTCACTCTTTCAGTTGGTAGTTATTTACTTGTTGTGGGGTCAAGCCCCCGTGTTACCTCTTGTAACCTACCTTGGGGTTCTTACGTTGGCTAGTCCAACATCACCACTCCTATCTCATATTTATGATAGTGGAATGTGGTCGATGCCCATAAATATCTATGTGGGTAATTGGTGACATGCCTCCAAAAAACAAGTCACCAGTTTGTCAGAAAAGCCATCCTTGTCTGCTAGCCTCATGGACAAACAATGCCCTCCTCATTCATTTATGTAGTTTATTTTCAGTTTTACCCACCTAGACAAATGTTATTCCTTGCTTTTGACGAGGCTCTGTCCTGTGTATGTTTCCTGTAACCCTTCAGAAGAAACCTGTCATATACGGCTTTGTGTGTGTGTGTACGTATATATGAGCATGTATGTATAAATTCATTTGAGGACCTATGCTCTAACCAGGCCTTAGAGATTGCTCACCACTGCAAGCCATAGCATACTAGATGTGAATGTCTACTCGCCAGGGCTAAAATATCACTAGCTAGTAGTAAATGGAAATTGTGAGCCCTATATGTATGTTTATGTATGTACGTATGTACGTACATACGTACGTACGTACGTGTGTTTAGATTTTTCATTTTTGTCATACCAGTTACCCAATACTCGCTAAACCCAATGCACATTATAAGGATGTAAAAGCATACACTTTGTTAATGGAGAACCACTTATAGACTTTTGTTGCTTTCTCTCAAAAGGAACGTAGGATGGATGAAGGATTGGTGGATGAGGGAAGAGATGACACAGGAGATGATGCAGCAGCAGTTCCACACCCAGGACTTGTGGCATCTGCATGGTCTTTCATTACAACCTTCTTCACATCACTGATCCCAGAAGGCCCTCCATAAATTGCAAATTAAGCTACGAATTTACTGCCAGCTGCATTTAAAACCAGAACAGGGGGTTCCTTAGAAAAAGTGTTTCAGAAAAAAAAAGTGCAATCAAACTTTTCTTTCATTTGTTTTTGTTGTACTGTACAGTTTTTTTTCCTTACTATTTCAAGCACAAGGTGGACTTATAATTTCTTTCTCTCTAAAAAAAACAAAAAAACAACAAAAAAACACACTTTAGAGAAGTGTAAAAGGTAAGAGGATGTGTCTTCCATGTGTTTTTTTAATTTTGTCTTTATCAAAAGCATTTAATGTATGCTATGTTCGTCTTTCAAGACTGCCTCTAGCTCACCAACTTGTCAAGAGTGTTAAACCCTAAATTCATGTTGAATAAATGGTATTAATTCTCTGCTGGTGGCAGATAAAACCTTCTATTCATTAGTAGGTTCTGTTACTGAAGAGTGTTGGTAGTGAACAGGAGGAGCAGAGCGGATGTGTGTCTATAATATATAGAGATTGAATTGCAAAACAGAAATGGTTTATTGAATAAGACCCAATGCTTTTTCTAATTGTGAGTGCCAGTTCCTAAAAATAGTGTTACATCAATCTATTGGCACTGGGGAGGAGTTAAGTATGAAAAGTAATTAAAGGGGAAATCTCTAGTAGTAGAACAATCTGCTTCCATGGGGATTGCTCAACTGTTAAATATTTCTACTAGAATTGCTTTTTGTATATAACCAATCTCCTGATTTACTGTATAGTTACAAATTGTGTTTTGAGCCTTTTGAAATGCCTTAAATAATGGTAATGATACTAAACGTAAGACAAAGAAAACAAATGGGACTTACATGGTGGATATCTATGGCAAAGCATGGTATGAAAGGTGCTAGTTTTATAGGACAGAAGTGATACTTTGCTGTCCCTGTATTATTGTAAGGTATTATTTCATAGTATTAACATATTTTTGTTTCACTTTGAATAAATCTTATCGTGAACCTTTAAGTAATTAAGTCATTTTATTTTGGGCTGCTGTGCTGAATGAATACAATCATATCTATTCACTGGGTTCAAATGGTTTCCAGCAAATTCCTAGCTTAAGAGCAAAGATGAATGCTCGATTGAGGTTTGGCACAGGTCTCAAATTTTTTAATTTGGCACTAGGGAGTGAAAATATAACCCTGACAAGTAGAAATAAATTCACCACTTCTGAGGGTGCCATGGACTCGCCAGTTTTGCAATGACGAGTAGCTTTTAAGATCTAGTTAGTAGTGTAGGACTCAAACCAATCTCAGGAATATTTATCAACATTCAGTATTGGAAAACCAAGACTCTCTTTTCTCACCTACAACTTAATTATTATTACTATTTTTTTTTTCTTTTTAACTATTTCGATTGTAAAGCCTACTGATGCAGTATGGTTCTGTTACCACCTGGTAATATTCTGATTCAACACATTAGTTTTTTTTTTTTTAAATTCTTTATTTTTGACGTGCCAGAATGGAAACAGGTTTACTCAATATGCCACAGAAGCATACGTAAAATAGGTAATGACAATACGCTGAACAACATGTAAGGGGTTTGTGCACATTTTTGAGTGTACGTTAAGAGTGGTATATTAAAACATGTATTGAACATAAGAGATAACAGTAAGATCCTATAGTTAGTTCCAATCGGGTTGGCATTCCAGGTTTAAGCTATCGTGAGGAAAGTGTAAGGGTTATCCCGCGATACCAGAGCCGAGTTACGGCATCTGCAGTTCATTGATCAGTATGAGTTCTAACTTCTGCTGTCTCTCATAGATATTTTGCTCCCTGGGGCTGCGGTTGCTTGCTGTGGGTCTACGGGTGGGTTGGGGGGGTGTTGTGTGGGTAAGGGAGTCAGGTCTAGATGCGAGTCCCATTGCAGTACTGCACCTAGTAATGAAAGGCCGATTGCGCATCTGCGTGTCCCAAGTGTATGTCCGGCGTTGTCCTAGCTTTGTGCTCTGTGTGAGGGTGGCTCATGCGGCTCCATCAGGTTAGTTTAGGCCCTCAGTCCGTCAGTGCGTGGGTCTACGCTTCTGGTGCTGTGGTCTGTCAGGGAGTGAGTTGGGCTCGGCTAAGAGGTGCTGAGAAGGTGGTGGGGGGAGTACTCCCGCGCATCAGTCGGGTGTGGGCGGGGTTACTTCCGCAGCAGTGCGTCTCTCGGGGTCTAATGTACAGTACGGTTTGTTAGTATGGAGTGTCATGTAAGGGAGAGGGAGAACATATGAGTAAGAAGCATAACATAAAAACATAAAGAAAAATATATGTACGAATATCTTTGATCCCCATTTGTCCAATTAGGGCCGTTTCAGTGGGTCCAAGAGGCTCGTATTGAGGCAGTGTGTGCTCGGGTGCTCCCGGGTGTATCTTGCAACTTAGGTGCAAAGGCAGAGTCCAAAGTAGTCCCATGGGACCCCGAGCCACAGTTGATGTGTGTCTTCAGGACGGTTAGGGAGGTGGTGAGTCCCTATTTTCAGGGCTTGGTTGCCCCACTCATCTCTGGATTTCTTCTTTGTGGCACGAACGGTGTAATCTTCGCTGGATCCCAGCGTGGGGCCGCAGTGGTGGTCGCCAAGTGCCCCTGCGGGGTTAGAGAGTCCTCTGGCAGACCGAGAGTTGGAAGTAGCTTCTCCGCTCCTTGTAGGTCTGTTACTGTGTATGTCGCATTGTTTCGTTGGACTTGCAGAGCCCTTGGTGTGCGCCATCTGTATGTTATGTCGCTCTGCCTTAAAAGCGCTGTGAATGTTTGGAGAGAGCGCCGTCACTGCAGGGTGTCCCCGGACAGGTCGGCGTAGAAGGTAAGGGCTGCATTCTCGAAAACATATGGTGTTCTTCCTTTGAGGGACGCGAGGACCGCTGCCCTGTTGGCGCCCATGCAGAATTTCACTACAACGTCTCCTGAGGAGGTGGCTGGGGCTTTCCGCGGCTTAGGGACTCTGAAAACCGCTTCAATGGCAGCATTCCGGGCCTGTTTCTTCGTTAGAAGCGCTCCGATGAGCCTCCTTGTTAAATGCGGGAGTTCCTCCGCTGGGATGTCGTCCGGGATGCCCCGTATTTTCACATTGTTGCGGCGTCTGAGGTCCTCAAGGTCCGCAAATCGTTGGTCAGTGGTCTATAGGTGTTTTTTTGAGTGTTTGTACCGCCGACCGCAGCTCCTTTATGACCTGTGCCTGTTTGTCTGACAAGGCCTCCAGAGCCCCAATGCGGCCTACCAGGCCTGTCAAGTCTGTGCAAAGCTGGGCCACGTCGGCCTGCAGCACTCTCTGTAAGTCACCCAGCATGGATCGCAGCGTCTCTGTGATAACTGGGTCAGGTGGCCCCTTTTTCGGGGCTGGGTGCGCTAATGGGGCAAACATACCGCCTGTGCAGTCCTCAAGGCTCTGGTCGTCTGAGGAGTCTGTGTAGTCAGCGAGGTCAGTGGTCATTTTGGGCCCATGTGTCCCTTGCGCCTGTCGGAATAAATCTCCAATGTCAGGCCCCGTTTTGGGTTAGTCCGGTCTCTGTTTTTTAGTTTTTCTCCCCATTTTCCAGTGGGTTCGTGGGATAGCTTTGAAGCACCTTAACACATTAGTTTTAACTAGGCCATGTGTATCATTTTGATTTTGCAACAGGGACCTTTCTTTGCAGCAGAAAGAAACGGTCATCCTGTTTTCTGCTGCTTCTCCGACAGCCATCCATGACTTGCTGGCTACACGTGAACACTGACTGTGCTGTCATCCCCACCTGTTCAGCAGTCAGACAGTGGTGCACTTTAACAGAGTAAAACCATGTCCATTTTATTTCCCACTGTCAGTATTTTGACTCTTAAGTCTATAAAATTACATTTCAAAATTTAATGTCACTTTATGTTTGAAATGGTTGTTAATTAGTTTAAACCTCTAAAGGACAAAATCTGAAACTTTCTCTATGTACTGAAAAATATCCAGTAACAATAGTTAGATTTAATATTATACGATTTATACGTTTATGTGTCTAGAATGTAGAACTGATGTATTTAAATTACACTTTTTGATTACTTTTTCCACAGAAAAACAAACGATTAAAACGTGTAATAAGTGTGTCTATGCATTTCAAGATATGACACATTTGAAACACTGTTTAAGCATTTTGGAAGCAGCGAGATTTTATATAGAGTTTGATTTGCTTAATTTTTGTTGTTTCTATAACTCTCTCTTCTTTTCTAATAGCATATTTATTTTTATTAAGGATATGTGTATATATAAGCATTTTTCTCTGTGATGGATACGGTTTGTATAAAATATCTTTATTTAAATACATACTATAGTTTACATTGTTATGCAGTCAGTGTATTTATCTGTATTTTTGTTTTTTTATTCACAAAAATTTTGTTGAGCATCCAAATCCAATATTTAAGAAATTCCATATCTTTTGGGCAAACAGTAGTAGGTTTAATGTGTAAACTTAATTTTTTTTCATTTATTTTTATTTAATTATATTTAATTTCCAGAAACTGGAATGTGAAGTAGTCTTGGTTTGACTTGTAAGACCATTTAGCACTTTGTGTAGTTAATATAGTGAAATGCATGCTGTTTTTTTTTTTTTTTTTAAGCTTGACTTCGTGATTTTATTGTAATTTTTGTAATGCTCCAATGTGGGAGTTGCTTTCTAATGGTGAGGAATAAAAAGGAACGGATTAGTCAGAGATCTGAAGAGGCCAATTTTGGATTGGTGAAACACAGCATCATGTAAAAGACATTTGGCATGACTCCAAGGGCTAAACTGTGATACATTTTTGGCATATGCCTGAGCTGACGGACTGCTAACAGGTCCGATAGAGATAAAATGCTTTCATTTTGGTTTATATTTGTTTTGATTGTTGAAGCTTTTTTTTCTTACTAGGACTGGAGATGTGTAAGTAAAGTCGTATGTTCCATGCTGTCTTTATGTGGAGTTAGAGAATGAGGTGCAGACTTATTAATACAAGCCAGAAGATGTACCTGCCGTTACAGTTGTAACAGTACTTATTTGCTCCTTCATTTTGAGTAACCAGCACACCTGCTTCTATTCTGATCTAAAACAATGTTCTGAGATTTTTTTGTGAAGGAAACTGATAATTAATTTGGGAACTGCATTAGTATAAATGCCGCTATCTTTTTCTCAATTTTTTTTTTCTTTCTATTTAAAGTGGCTCTGTCATGGATTTTATTTCCCCCCAATTTTGCCTTCCTTATTCCCATTGTATCATAATGATTATAATCCCCTCTTTGCCACTTACATATATGCATATATATATATTCCATTCTTTAAAGGATCACTATAGGGTCAGGAACACAAACATGTATTCCTGACCCTATAGTGTTAACACCACCATCTAGCCCCCCTGGGCCCCTAATGCCTTCATAAATATAGTAAAAAATCTTACTGTATTCAAGCCTGAAGCTGTAAATCTGCATGCTGTTAGGCTCAGAAAAACAAGCCGTCTGCTGACATGTGGTAGCCTGATCCAATCACAGTGCTTCCCCATAGGATTGGCTGAGACTGAGAAAGAGGCAGATCAGGGGCAGAGCCAGCATGGCCAATCAGCACAGCCCTGGCCAATCAGCATCTCCTCATAGAGATGAATTGAATCAATGAATCTCTATGAGGAAAGTTCAGTGTCTGCATGCAGAGGGAGGAGATACTGAATTACAGGATGCTGTGCGCAGTGCTGCCCTGTGCTCTGCTGACAGCAGTTCTGAGTGGATGGAGGCATATTATGCCTCCATCAACTCCGAAGTCCCTCTGGTTCACTGTGAGTGACTGCAACTGGAGGTGTTCCTAGCTTTCAATGTAAACACTGTATTTTCTCAGAAAATACAGTGTTTACATGAAAAAGACTGCAGGGAGCTATAGTTCTTACCTGAACAACCTCATTAAGCTGAAGTTGTTTAGGTGACTATAGTGTCCCTTTAAATGGAAAGAAAAAAAATAGAGAAAAAGATGGCATTTATACTAATGCAGTTCCTAGAGTAATTATCATTTTTTATATATATATACATTTGCAAGAAAAAGTATGTGAACTCTTTGGAATGATATGGTATTCTGCACAAATTGGTCATAAAATGTGATCTGATCATCATCTAAGTCACAACAATAAAGAATCACAGTCTGCTTAAAGGACCACTCTAGGCACCCAGACCACTTCAGCTTAATGAAGTGGTCTGGGTGCCAGGTCCAGCTAGGATTAACCCATTCTTTTATAAACATAGCAGTTTCAATCCTCTAGTGGCTGTCTCATGAAAATCACAGTGAGAGCACGCAAGCATCCATAGGAAAGCATTGTTAATGCTTTCCTATGCGACCGGCTGAATGCGCACGCAGCCAGCCGACGGGGAGGAACGGAGGAGGATCGGAGGAGGAGAGCTCCCCGCCCAGCGCTGGAAAAAGGTACGTTTTTACCCCTTTCCCCCTTCCAGAGCCGGGCGGGAGGGGGACCCTGAGGGTGGGGGAACCCTCAGGGCACTATAGTGCCAGGAAAACGAGTATGTTTTCCTGACACTATAGTGGTCCTTTAAACTAATAAAGAATGAAATGTTGCCATGTTTTTATTGAACACACCATGTAAACATTCACAGTGCAGGTGGAAAAAGTATGTGAAACCTTGGATTTAATAACTGGTTGAACCTCCTTTGGCAGCAATAACTTCAACCAAATGTTTCCAGTAGTTGCAGATCAGACGTGCACAACGGTCAGGAGTAATTCTTGACCATTCCTCATAACAGAACTGTTTCAGTTCAGCAATATTCTTGGGATGTCTGGTGTGAATCGCTTTCTTGAGGTCATGCCACAGCATCTCAATCGGGTTGAGGTCAGGACTCTGACTGGGCCACTTCAGAAGGCTTATTTTCTTCTGTTTAAGCCATTCTGTTGTTGATTTACTTCTATGCTTTGGGTCATTGTCCTGTTGCAACACCCATCTTCTGTTGAGCTTCAGCTGGTAGACAGATGGCCTTAAGTTCTCCTGCAAAATGTCTTGATAAATTTGGGAATTCATTTTTCCTTCGATTATAGCAATCCGTCCAGGCCCTGGCGCAGCAAAGCAGCCCCAAACCATGATGCCCCCACCACCATACCTTACAGGTGGGATGAGGTTTTGATGTTGGTGTGCTGTGCCTTTTTATCGCCACACATAGTGTTGTGTGTTTCTTCCAAACAACTCAACTTTGGTTTCATCTGTCAACAGAATATTTTGCCAGTACTGCTGTGGAACATCCAGGTGCTTTTGTGCAAACTGTAAACGTGCAGCAATGTTTTGTTTGGACAGCAGTGGCTTCCTCTGTGGTATCCTCCCATGAAATCCATTCTTGTTTAGTGTTTTACGTATTGTAGATTCGCTAACAGGGATGTTAGCGTTTGCCAGTGACTTTTGTAAGTCTTTAGCTGACACTCTAGGATTCTTCTTCACCTCATTGAGCAGTCTGCGCTGTGCTCTTGCAGTCATCTTTACAGGATGGCCACTCCTAGGGAGAGTAGCAGCAGTGCTGAACTTTCTCCATTTATAGACAATTTGTCTTACCGTGGACTGATGAACTTCTGAGAGCTCTTTTGTGCAAGGCATCATTCACATCAGGCAATGCTTCTTGTGAAAAGCAAACCCAGAACTGGTGTGTGTTTTTTATAGGGCAGGGCAGCTGTAACCAACACCTCCAATCTCATCTCATTGATTGGACTCCAGTTGGCTGACATCTCACTCCAATTAGCTCTTGGAGATGTCATTAGTCTAGGGGTTCACATACTTTTTCCACCTGCACTGTGAATGTTTACATGGAGTGTTCAATAAAAACATGGCAACATTTCATTCTTTGTGTGTTATTAGTTTAAGCAGACTGTGATTGTCTATTGTTGTGACTTAGATGATGATCAGATCACATTTTATGACCAATTTGTGCAGAAATCCATATCATTCCAAAGGGTTCACATACTTTTTCTTTCAACTATGTGTGTATAATATATACACACACACACACACACACATATACAAACCCTTCTTCTATGGAAAGTTCATTAAATTCTATCAAACATTTTGCTAGAAGATATGCTAGCCATTGTAGAAAAAACTATTTTAAAATATTTCTTTCTCCCACTTCTCTGTCAAATCATCAGAATTTGACTAGTCTATGCCAGTGATTTGAGTGACAAGGGAGAGCAGAAAAGACTTCCCACAGGTGAAGCCTGGAGGTGCATAGGTGGATGCTAAGCGAAGAGTAACACCCACGAAGCTCTAAAGATGGCAGCGCTGGAACAGAGGTGAACATGTCTTGATATTTTACATTACAGGTTCACTTTGTTCACGTTAATACCTGGGTGCTTCAGTTTTGTTCTCCTCCGTCCATGAAATCTTCAGTTTGCTCTTGTGTAGAATTCTTTTGACTTGATGGATTGTTGGTAAATTAGCTTAGCAACTGAAATTGATCTTTGCTTAAAGGGACATGTGTTCTTGTGAGACATCTGTTTCATTCTGAAGGCAGAAAAGGCAGGTAAAAATATTTTTTTTTCATATTTGCCTGTTCTTCTTACCTGCCTTTTCCACGCCTAGCTGGGTGGGCGGACGTTGATCCACTCAATCAGTATCCTATTCCTAGGTAAGGTGTAAAAATCGTCTCGGAATTGGAAGATCTCACAATGGCATTAGTGATATAGTGAGAAACAAAATTGCACGGGTCTGTGAATGTGCCTTACATGCATTCATGACCAGCACTTAGGAGTACCTAGATGACAGAGCAATTCTACCCTGATAATGAGTTTTCTTTTACTTGTGCAAGGATCTTTGATATAATCCTTGGGATGGCAAAAAAAGTGTGTGTATTCATAGGCCCAAATTTGGTCAGTGCTGTGATAAATTATTGTCCCTGCCTCTTTTCAAAAACACTTCTGCTTCTCTGCATGATAACTGGAGCCACAGATTTTCTGGGTCATGTGAGCTTCCTGTTCAGTCCTTTCCCAGATCCCAGTGATCCTTTGTAGTTTGTTGCTGAGCAGGCTAAAGTGTGCCAGATCTTGAAACGTGCTCTATTCCATTTGGACACTGAAAGGGTTAAAGGGTTACTCAAAACATCATAATCACTACAGCCAACTGCACATACAGACTCTAGGCACCATGACCACTTCAAATCACTTAAGTGGTAAAGGTGCTTGGAGTAACCCTTTAATGCAATTGATGAGCTATTCATATTCACTATTGGGAGACCACATGAGTCGAATTTGAAAAAAGACAGATGCCCAAAGCAAAGTGGTACAGCTGACACTACAGCCTTCATCAGGAGGCTGAGAGGACATCACAGGTGATTTGCAGAAATAATTTTAAATACATTTTCGTTTGATAGTGAATGGGCCCATAAACTGCCAGTCTCATTCACACAGATACTAGCTACCTGCAATAGCCAAATGTCCTCTTCTTCCCACAGAATTTTGTGGTGCAGATTATTACACCAGTAGAAAGAGAGGCCGCTGTGTGAGAGTTTAAAAAAAATGGCTATCCTGGGGTTGATAGATACATGGACTAATCGCATAAGTAGCAGACAAAAATCTCCAAAATGTAATCTCACTCACTAAACACCAGGGACTAAATTTACAAAGTAATAGCTTTTGAAAATAAAAACTATTAAATACAGTGGGTTTAGTTACAGTATGTGATAATACATTGCATACGCCCGCCACAATGCTAATGTGCCCGCTTATTTTTGGTAGATCCTATTCTAACACCCTAGTGCCTGCAATTATGAGATTAATCCACTTACTTGGGAAATCCATTCTTCACGGCTCTCTGTAGTGCAAGTTTAAATAGGGCACATGACGGTTGCGTTCAAAACAGAGGAGTTGGCATGGACTCCCAAATATATTTTACATATAAAACCAAGGAGGCTGTGCTCAACTCAACATCAATACATTATATGTGTGCTACTGGGTCCAAAATAAATATATATAGACACGCACGCACACTCCTTGCTCTTTCGATATGCAGAGAATATGTTTGTCGTTATTATTTCCCTGACTCTCAGCATCCTTTGCTCTTTTGTTTGCAGAAGTCTTGAGCATGCACATAGTTTTTCATTCATGGCTAGTGCTAGTTCACGTGAAATTGAGATGGGTGGATTAGTGAGAAGGGATAGGCTAAAGAAACTCCTCTTGCTCAAAGCGTGCCATCGAATGCAAACTGACAAAGTTTAAAGTAAGTTTATAAACATGTATTACATACTTTTCAAACTTTTGTTGCCTTGTTTAAGTTTGTATAAAAGTTCTGGTTTAAAAGAAAAGTCAAGTGGTGCATGTCCCTTCAAATTAAAAGTATATTCAAACTATTGTAGCCTACTTGTGTTCATCTCTTCATATATATTTATAGCCCCGACCTTCCTTTGTGTCTCAATCAGATATTGATTTTATATTAAAAATAACATCTAAAATCCACCCCCGAGATACGCTGCCCAAACGGTCGTTTCTGTCTTAATGTTTTTCTTTATCTAATTAAACACTTCTTATTGGACAGCTTTATTGGGCGTACAGCACATCTCAATAACAGAGATTTACCAATCAAGTGCTGCTCAGTGACGGCACCTACAGGTTTTATAAGAGAACAATGTAAACACTGCCTTTTTTCGGAAGACTACAGAGACACACTATAGACATCAAAAACACTACTTTTTAGCTGTAGCGGTTCCTGTGATTATAGTGTTTCTTTAAGCTCTGCTCATTGTCAACATTTGCAGATAACATCTTCTATAAGAAAAACTAGCCCCTGTTCTTTTTTTTTTTTTTTTTTAGGTATACCTAAAAAACGAAGTTGAATTTTAAATAAAGAAAAATTTGTATTAGGCTACAGGTTTGCAAGCAAAACCTGCAAAGTGACTAAGCCGCTCTAATTGTGTACCCTTTTAATTTAATTTTACTGTTCTTTATCTTATTTAGTTATATTATTAACATAACAGTCTGAGATACTATGGCCTCCAAAAGTGTATTCTAGTTATTACTTTTACTTTTTGTTTTTGATATCCTTTTTATTTGTCTACTGACTCTGTTATGCATGTAGTTTGCATATACCGAAAGGGCATCTGTATGTGCCTAGAACTGGCAGATCAGTTTTACATTTGTAGAAATTGGTTTATCATTTAAAATTGATATATTTTACAATATATTTTCTATGTAATTAAAATATAGAATTACGAATTACTGCTATATATAATCTACCATGTAATTTCCATTTGCAATTGACCAAGAAATAAATAAATTACTATTTGCTCCAATGGATTTGTGCTAAAATACCCTACACCCCCCAGTCTTTATTAATGGTACGAAATTGTCCATGCTTATGTTTTGTGTAAGGTTGAATGTATGTGATAAGTGTGTTCACTTTCAGCATTATAATTTTGAGAGCAATTCTGTTGAATGGAGTAGAGCACCATCACACCTAGCTTGAAATGGCCATACTTATATTTTCACAATGCGAATGGGGAATTTAAGAAGAGTTTTTTTTTTTAAATTTTGTTTGTTTCTCAGTTTAATGCTTGATGCTTCTCAGTGTTGAATGAGCCCATTACATGCAGTATGTTTTATGTAAATTACTGATCTGTAACAAGCTTAAATATGTAATTATGCTGTTTTTTTATAACAAACAAAATCAAATGTTTTAATAAACTTATCCGTGAAATAAGTGTCTTTCTTTGAAAGCTACTGGCTATTTATTTGTGTGTCTGTCTGTCTGTCTAACCTATCTATCTGTATATAAAACTTGCAAGAACTCAGCACACACTTTTAAACCACTGTGAAGTACTTCGGTGCTGACTACTTGCCACAGATATATTTTACAAAGTGAATAGCACACAAGATTTGTGATGACTCTTATTCAATACTTTATTTCATAGAAGCGGCAAATCAAATAAATACGTAATGTTTTAATCTACATTGGAGACTTTATATATGCACTACTGTGCAAACGGTGAAAAAAATGCTGTAAATGAAAAATGTGTTCAGAACAGAAATGTTAATAGTTTATTTTTAAATTGCTATTTGGTTAGAAAACCAAATATTTAATTACTTTTGTTTACTCAGTTTGCATTTTGTTAAAAAAAATAAACTATAAAAATGTCTTGTTTTGAAAGCATTTATACTTTACATGCCTGCATACAAGCTTAGTTTAGTAGCTTAGTAATGTGTATAGAAATTGGAAATTTTTGTACAAAAAGACCATTTTTTGTGTTTTATACTATGATAAAACCACACACATATATAAAATTGTGTGTTTATAATTGCTATAGTACTATTATATGGTTAGTTCTCAGAACCTGGTACCACAGCCTCCACCATGCTTGATAAAGTTGGGTGTTAGGGAACCACACTAAGAGAATAATATCACAATCCACCAACATACATGATCTTATAATATTTCTGTGTCAAATATGGCAGTGCAAATCTATATAATACAGTTTCCTAAACCGTCTCTAAGGATATAGAATAATTGCAATCATCCTATCGGTTTAACCTAACAAAACCTTTTATTTCCAAACCTGGAATCACTTAGTAAGTCTTAAGGGATACAGTTGTGAGCGTAGTTGGGCTGTGGCACAACCCTTCCATGATTCAGAGAGACAGGAGGATCTTGCTCCTTAGTTATATAGACACTGGATCAGTGGCCTCAACGAAATGTAAAGAACCTGGAGGTCATCCCAGGCTGGACCAACTCCCACAGCCTTTTCTATGGCATCCAATGAAACATTGCCCACTTCTCAGGACATCTGCAGTGCCTGTCTCATATCTTGTGGTGACTAACAGTGACAGTTTGCATGCCAACAGACAAGCCTGATAAGTGTCTATTATGGTGGGATACCTTTATGACAAGAAAGGAGGCTTCATATTTGCCTTAACCTTTTACTGAACCTCCCATCAACTAAGAAATAGTTTTTGTAAGAAAGAAAAATCTACCTACCACATAGTCATACATGAAACAGCTCAATACAACTCCTCCCAAATCCTCTTTGCTTGCTGCTGCCTCCCAGGCGAGTCATATCCATTTTGATGCACTCTATTGAAACCTTAATTCACTGTTTTTTTCTCTACGCTCTTGTTATTTCTACAATCATTATAGTGCCCTACTATAGTCCTTTTTGTCCTTATACCTTATCATGCCACCTTACAATGTTTGTTTCCTCTACACTCTCAGTTGTACTATTTGTTCCTTGCCTTTACTCCATCCATTGCGATCCTCACACGTTAAAGGGTTCGAAGATGCTACCATCTGCACTCCCTTTCATATCCCCTGTCTCCTACAGGCCTCACTTTTTTTTTTCTTCTTACAGGCCTATTCCTGTGAGGCATGCGTCACGGCGTGTATGAGTCTCGGTGTTCGTATTGAATCTCAAGTGAATTTGCATTCTTTTTCCTGCGTTGTCTTCCCCTGACCTCCATGTACAGTGCTATATCTCTGATGTCCTGTACTTGCTTAAAGTTAATACTGCATTGGGGCTGGGTGAGTGTTTCCTTTTATTTGGTATTTGGTACTCTTACGCAGAATGCAACTTAGGAGAGTATTTCCTCAGTATCCGCATCATTCAGACCTCAACGTACTGCATGGGCATCAGCGTAGTCACGTTCCTCTGTCAGCCATTTAGCCTATGTTTCCTGCATGTTGCCACACCCTGTCCTGTTGTAGAATTTGCGGATAAGAAAGGTTTCAGGGTCAACCAGCAGTGGTAAGAATGGTGGTTTGAAAAGTGACCTAGAGGGCTTAGACTCTAATGCTTTGCATCATTATGGGCATGAAGCTGCCTTCTGCAAACAACCCTGTAATGGTCACAGCACTCCTGCATGCGAAGAGAAATCTCCAACTAAAACATCTAGGCTTACCACCTCTTCTTCCTATCAAGCTAGGTTGGAAAGCCCAGCAGAACAGCTAGTGCAATTGTGATTTCCTCTCAGCTGGCGGATGAGCATTCTAAGGCATTATTGGACATTGAAGGCCGTCCACTATTTGATCCCAAGTTGATTCAATATCCACATTTGGACAAATGGACGCCTTCAGATTATATTGCCAATTTCTTGAGGGTTTGGCTTTGCCAGCCTCTTGACAACTAGTGCATACTAGCTTGAGGGCCTAGTGCCGCCGGATGAAGATTCAGGATTAAGCGGCAAATATTTAAATGAACAGAAATTATCTATGGATAGGGGTACTAGCCCGTTCCATAGATAGAAACACCTTTACTGACACTCCAGCAGTGTCATATGGGGCATAACCCCTATTCCTAAAGTATTGAGAAAAATCCCACAAATCTGAAGAGAATTACTCCAGAAAAGTAGATTATGACTGGAAATTAAATTGAATAGTAGCAAAATATAATGATAAGAACAAAAAATGTGTGTAAATATACCAAAAGAGAAACCAAACAGGTATATATATCTATATATAAAATCGATATATAGATCTCCACAGCTGTCAATGGCTGTGCCTCCCTAATGTCTATGTTGGTTAGTGTCTAATCAGACTTCTGACTTTAATATAATAATCAGTGTCAATGTCTGAATGATATAGAGAAAAATATATACAGGTGACATGGACATCTATTCTAATGTTAACACAGCATTTGTGTCAAAATGTCAGATAAATGGCAGGCTTACAACAAAGATTAAATGTAGTGCTCCTGCCTCATTATCAAATAGTGCTATGTTAAACCTGTGACTAAAGGGGGGGAGTAAGAGTAACCTGTTATATACTATGCAACAGGCTAGCCATTCATGTAACTGTGTCTGGGATAATATTCATTACGTGAATCCACAACAGAAACAAAATATCCAGTCCTAGTAAATGAACAATAGAGATAGCAACATTGCCATCCAGACAAATATATTCAATGGACTGATCGTGGCTGCCTCTGGTACTAGATATAGAACCAGGTATATTAGGTTCTCTCCCCCAATAGTACTAAAAAAGAATATACAGGAGGGAAAGAAAAAACAGAAAGAACTGTTAGTGCATCCTAATGTGCAGGACCATACTTAGAGTGTTGGTCTCTGCACATGTGACAGTGTGCCCTGTGAAGTGAGGAAAAAGTGAAGAGAGAAACCCGACGCGCGTTTCGGTGCCGCTAAAGTGCACCTTCGTCAGGGGCTAAAGGTTTGGTAACGGCTGGGTCGCTGCTTTATATGTATCAGAGCTACTGACGTGGACCAATCACCGGTCGAAAAAAACGGCGCCAAAAAGGACTAACGCATTATGCAAATGGACCTTTTAAAAAAGGACCAATCAAGGACCAAGTTTCCGCTGATAGCTTTTTTTTAAGAAAAATAAATACATGATGACGTAGAATTCAGTAGTTTAACCCTTGCAGTGCTAGTACAAATAAACTTCTCCAGTTAAGAGAAGAATATATTTGTCGCCCGATGGCTATTCTCTATATCAATTATCATTTAAATACTTCCGATATTCAACCATTGTGTGATATGCCTTTATGGTATTCATTAACCATCTATGGTACAAAGAAATTAAATATGCCAAGTCCCTACATATGCTAGCCTAAAAAATGCCAAAGGCTTAAAAAACAGTACCAATATATCATATTGGGCAAAATGGCAATACTGTAAAGTGTATGTGTACAGATGGAGATATTAGGGATGCAACAATGAAATTAAATAGTATGTCTCGGAGAGGCATTGCCTGAACCGCTTACATGATGACGTAAAATTCAATAGTTTAACCCCTGCAGTGCTGGTATGAATGGACTTCTCCGGTTAGGAGAAGAATATATTTGTAGCCAGACGGCTATTTCCTGAGGAATCAGTTATCATTTGAATTCTTCCGATACTCAACCATTGTGTAATAAGCCTTTATGGTATTCATTTGCCATCTATGGTACAAAGAAATTAAATATGCCAAGTCACTACATATACTGGCCTGAAAAATGCCAAAGTCTTGAAAAACAAAGGAGTACCAATATACCATATTAGGCAAAATGGCAATGCTGTAAAGTATATGTGTACAAATGGAGATATTAGGGATGCAACAATGAAATTGAATAGAATGTCCCGGAAAGGCATAACCTGAACTGCTTACATGATGACGTAAAATTCAGTAATTTACCCTTTGCAGTGCTGGTACGAATGAACTTCTCCGGTTAAATGAAGAATATATTTGTAGCCCAATGATTAATCACTATGTTATTGTTAGTTCATGTGGAATCAATTATCATTTAAATTCTTCCAATATTCGACCATTGTATAATAAGCCTTTATGGTATTCGTTAACCATCTATGGTACAAAAAAGTTAAATATGCCAAGTCCATACATATACTAGCCTAAAAATGCCACGGGCTTGAAAAACAAAAAAATACCAATATACTATATTAAGCAGAATGGCTGTAAAGTATATGTGTACAAATGGAGATATTGGGGATGCAACAATAGAATTGGATATAATATCTCGGAAAGGCATTACCTGGACTGCTTGCTATAAAGATACCCATTTGGGTTTAAGCAAGTAAATGAATGCCTTTTAGTTATGAACCCTGTAGGGGCTCTATTATAAAATTCATGTCTGCAGATATTATCCCTTAATCTATAACAATATTGGTCTACTACAAAGGTGACTCGGAAGGAGCAGAATACATTGTGTTTATTCCCATGTTACTTATAGGGACAATTCCTCTCGAATAAATTACATTTGTACATATATAAGTGTGCCAAACGTCAACCTTGCAAGGGTAACTC